GCAACAGGCATTAAAAATGTGGACAAGCGAATATCTATGGGATGACAAATGGCTGAGGGAGGTGGAGGGTGCTTTCAGAGGCCAAATCAGTGTGGCCCTAAGGTAGATTGTGGTGTCCTCTCTGAGGATGGGGCATCTAAGCTGAGGCCCCGGGGATGAGCTGGACTTGGGCAGCTGAAGAGTTGAAGGGGGAGCCCAGGATATGCAAAGGCCCTGGGGTGAGGTGTCTGTCTCCGAGGGCCGCTGTAACACATCACCACAATCTGGGTGGCTTAGAACAACAGAAATGTATCCTCTCACAGTTCTGGAGACTACAAGTCTGAAATCAAGGTGTGGGCAGGGCCATGCTTCCGCTGAAGGCTCTGAGGGAGAATCTATGCCTGGCCTCTTCTACTCTGATGGTTGCTGGCAATTCTCATCTTGTGGCTGTATGACCCAGGTTCTGCCTCTGTCACCATGCAGAACTCTCCCTGTGTTTCCACGTGGCCTCCTCGTAAGGACACCGGCCATTGGAATGAGGGCCCACCCTAAATCTAAAATGACCTCAAATGACCTCATCTCCAGATCCTTCACTTAATGACATCTACAAAGACCCCATTTCCAAATAAGGTCACATTTACAGGTTCCAAGGACTTTGGGGGTGGCGGGACACGATTCAACCCATGGCAGGTGAGAACAAGGTTTGCACATCTGAGAAGCAGAAAGTGGCTGGTATGGCCAGAGCTGAGTGGAAGGGGAGCAGAGGTCAGCAGATGGACCTCATAGGACCTTGAGGCTGAAGTCAAGAAATGAACTGTCTTTTCAAACCAGATCCTCTCTGGTGATCGGGTAGCTGTCACCGGGGGCAGTGGGGTGACGAGGCCATGTGTCTCTCTGGGTGTGTGGGGCTCCCAGAGAGCATGGCGGCACACGGGCCCCACGTCTTCAAGGCTCAGATGTGGTACCGCTGCTTCTGCCTCGTTCCGTTGCTTAGTACCACTCTCCCAGCGGGTCCTGATGCAAGAAGAGGAAACGGGCTCTCTCCCAATGGGAAGAACTCTGAGGCCCCACGCCGAGGATGTGGAGAAAGGGAGGGAACAACGGAGGTCATCCTAGCACTCGCTCCATCAGAGCTGGATTGGAATCGTGGCTGTATGACTTCTGAGCTGTGACATTTACATTTCCCTTTACTCCTCTCAACAAACAAACGTGGGTAATAGCTAGTTTACAACACTGTTGCCACGTGGATCAGGGACCACGTCCAACAAAATGTAGAGTCCCAACTCTTCCTCCCCAACTTAATCACATCATTGCCTTAAGCCCCTTCTCCGCATAACCCTCCAAACAAGTCAATTGCCAGCTTTCAAGGCTCACCGCTTCCAGGAAGCCTTCCCTGATAGCACGCCGACCCACCATGACCAGAGCGCTACCTTTGGAAAGCCTTTCTAAACAGTCAAATAAGTGATGCCTAAAATGCTTTGGGGCGTTACCTTTTCTACTTAAAATGTCTCAAGCCCCCAACCCATGTGCCCCAAAGAGCCCAGCTTCTGCATTTGGTAAATGAATTAGATTTTTTAAAACATAGATCAAACACTCACCCCTTCCTCCAGCCATCCTGTTTGCCTTCCTAGAGAAAATCAGTTACCAATTTCTCGTCTATTCCCCCAGAGATAGCCAAGCACGGGATCAGCAAACATTTTCTATAAAGAGACAGGCAGTCAATAGATTCGGTTTTGCAGGCATATGGCCTTGGTCACAACGACTCACCTCTGCTGTCTCCAAAAGCAGCCACAGACAAGACATAAGTGAACATGTGTGACTCAGTTCCAATAAAATTTTATTGATGGACAGGGAAATGAGAATTTCATATCATTTTCATGAGTCATGCAACGTGATTCTTCTTTTGATTTTTTTTTTTTTTTTTTTTTTTGTGGTACGCGGGCCTCTCACCGCTGTGGCCTCTCCCGTTGCGGAGCACAGGCTCCGGACGCACAGGCCCAGCAGCCATGGCTCACGGGCCCAGCCACTCCGTGGCATGTGGGATCCTCCCGGACCGGGGCACGAACCCGTGTCCCCTGCATCGGCAGGCAGACTCTCAACCACTGTGCCACCAGGGAAGCCCTCTTCTTTTGATATTTTTTTCAACCACTTAAAAATGTGCAAACCCTTCTTAGCTGTGAGGCCATGACAAAAAACGGCAACAGGTCACATCCGGCCCAGGACACGGTTTGCTGCCCCGCGTACAGAAGCAGGCGTGCAGAGAGACCCCCCGCGCCTTTCTTTTCTACACCAACGGGAATATCCCTGTGCACCGTGCTTTTCGCCCTTTTATAATATGCCTTGGCAATTATTCCACCTCTGTAAACACTGACCTCCTTCATCCTTCTCTTTTAATCTTCAAAATATCTTTTTAAAGAGATAGTTAATAAACTATTTTAGAATTGCTTTCAATGTACAGAAAAGTTGTGAGGATACTCGAGTTCCCACGCACCCTGCAGCCAGTTTCTCCTACTGTGAACATTGCTGTGGTACGTTTGTCACAAGGAACGAACCCATATTGATGTGTTATTACTAATGGAAGTCCGCGCTGTGTTTGGATTTCCACAGCTTTCCCCTGATGTCCTTTTTCTTTTCCAGAATCTCACCTGGGACCCCACATTCCACTGGGTCAGCCTGCGTCCTGAGGCTGTTCCTGGTTGTGTCAATTTCCCAGACATCCCTGGTTTTGGAAGACCTCCACAATTTTGAAGAGTTCCGGTCAGGGATTTTTGTAGGATGTCTCCCCTCCCACCCTATTGGAGTTTGTCTGACATTTTTTCATAATTAGACGCCTCATGTGGAGGCAATCAAGGGTCCAACTTTCTCTCCTCTCTCCATCCTCCAACCCTTCCAAGATCTCTCCCCACGGCTGGCCTTTCCCTGGTGGGACATTAATTACTGCAGAGCCTAGACAGACTTCTCATTGCCTGAGTACATTTGTGAAGGCAGCCGTGATTGATTGGAGCTAGTTTAGATTTTAGATTTACCTGCTTTTTTTTTTTTTTTTTTAAATCCCCGTGTCTAATCAGAGAGCCCAGCCTGGTGGGGGCCAGCTGCCCCTGGATAATATTTGGTGGGAGAGAAAAGGAGGCCGGAGACAAAATGGGAAGGCAGGAAAGCAGGAAGGCTAATAATAATGTTACAACCTAGCTGTTTATTAAAAGCCCAGGGATATACAGCCCAGGAACGGTTCTTCCTTTCCCCGACATGTGGGGACCATATTTTCTTGGCCCAGAGTTGGGTCGTGCGATTAGCCGAGAGCATTCCATTTTCTTTTAATACCTTTGAAAGGCCTCTGATTTGTGAATTTCTTTAGGGAGGGCTACGTTTGGTTGCACGTTTTAATAAAGGCAGTTCCTGAAAATAATAAAAGAAAAGTACGTGAAACCAGGCCTGGCTGGGCAACCCACACTTGCCCTCTCATAAAAGGCTAAGATCTCAGCACTGCCTCGTAAAGCTTGCTCCAGCCTGTTCTGACCAGGGTTGCGGTGTGCAGAAAACAACCCCCTAATTGTCATTTAATTAAAGAGCACTTTCATACATATCAATAAATAGCTGTTGAATAAAAAATGACTTGGAAACACAGTGACCCCTTGTCACCTACTCTAGGCTTGAGGGTACATTTTTACATGGGTGTGTGTGTTTTCTTTGAATAGACAGTCTACTGTAAGAGGTGGACAGGGCGAAGTCTGACCTTCAGAGTAACCTATTACCAAGCAAGTAAATCCTCAAGGAATAGGTTGAAGAGACACGCCCACATCCTTCCCCTGGAACCTGTGAACATGACCTTACTTGGAAAAGGGTCTTTGGAGACATCAAGTTAAGGATCTTGAGTTGAGAGCATCCTGGATTTAAGATGGGCCCTACACCCAATAGCAGGTGTCCTAATGAGAGAACAGAGGGGGAGATGGATTGATTCAGACACCAGAGGAGAGAAGACCACATGAAGACAGAGGCAGAGGTTGGTGTGATGCAGCTACAGAGCCAAGGCTCCCCTGGAGCCCCCAGAAGCTAGGAGGAAGGGTCCTCCGTCAGAGACTCTGGGCACAGCTCAGCCCTGCTGACACTTTGATTTTGGATTTCTGGCCTCCAGAACTGTGAGAGAACACATTTCTGTTGTTTTAAGCCACTAAGTCTCTGGAAACTTGGAGTAGGTGGTAGGGAACCAATACACCCCATAATTCTATGTCGACTGAAAACAAAAATGCACAATCTAAAAATTGAGAATTGTGTTTTATTCCGCAGACTTACTGAGGACTTAAGCCCAGGAGGATACAGCTTCTCAGATAGCTCTGAGGGACTGTTCCAAAGAGGTAAAGGAGATGACAGGATATATGACTTTTTCCGCTGGGGGGAAAAAAATGTAGTTGAATATCAAAAGATTACTGCTTGGGCTTCCCTGGTGGCGCAGTGGTTGAGAGTCTGCCTGCCGATGCAGGGGACACGGGTTCGTGCCCCGGTCCGGGAAGATCCCCGTGAGCCGTGGCCGCTGAGCCTGCGCGTCAGGAGCCTGTGCTCCATAACTGGAGAGGCCGCGGCAGTGAGAGGCGTACCGCAAAAAAAAAAAAAAAAAAAAAAAGATTACTGCTAATCACAGAAACAGACATCTCGAGTTAATGATTTTAGCACTTTTAGTGTGGGAAGATGCAAGAGCCTAGGCTCATTGAAATTATTCCTTTGATTGCATCTTAACTATCTTGGGCCAGGATCCTGTTTAAATACAGGAAGTGGCTAAAACGATTTCCGAGCCTAAGCAGAGCTAAAACGCTGTTCTACGGGCAATCCCCCGCCAATGTTAGGGACCAGCGGCCCCTGGCGGCCTGGCCACTACGTTGGTCTCTCCAGGCGCCGCCAAACAGCCTGTGCCTGCGCAGAATGCAAGCGCTCAAGCCCACCCCTTGGAGGGTGTAACTTCCTTGGGTTGCTCTCTTTGGCCACGCCTACTTCCGGGGCGGGCTACGCCTGGAGCACGTGACTTGGTTCCGGCTTGCGGAAGATGGCGGCGCCCAGAGCCGTAGCGTGAAATTTGGCGGTGGTAGTCGCAGGCCATTCGTGCTGGAATCACAACAGTGGGACCGTGCGCCATGTCGCGACTGATCGTGAAGAACCTCCCAGATGGGGTGAGTGCAGAGCCTGGACTTGAGAATCTGAAATTGGGACCAGCTAGGAGCTGGAGGTTGGGAGGGAGGTGCCTGGGGAGAACTGAGGGGCTTTCGATCTCGGGAAGGATTCCCGGAGGATTCAGAGCCCGAAAGGGGCTTCTCGGCAGATTCCCCGTTGACATTTGGGAGAGAGGGACAGTGCCTGCTCAGGGTTTCACAGCCGGCCCGATGGTACGTGATCCCAGCCACACACCTCCTTCCCCGGGACATGCCAGCCCCCACGCTGTGTCGAATGCCTTGCTCCCACAGCCCTCTTGTCAGTCGCTTTTTTGGGTTGACTCGTGACTGGGTCAGACACTGCGCCTGTATCCCTCTCCCACTCGGCACACTGTCTGGGAGGAAAGTGGGGAGCAATAGACTGAGGACCTGCGTTCCAGTTCCCACTCCCGCCTTTAGAGAAGGTAGGAATAAATAGTCTAAGAAAACTGCGTGAGTGTGCAGGGCTTTAAACAACTTATCCAGTAAGTGGGGAGGGGTGCCCCAGTCGTACTTGTCTCCGCCTAGAGTCCGCACAGAACTTGGCACGTGGTGGGTATCCAGTAAATACATGCTGAATAAAAGAGTGAAGAAAGAGTTGAATGTGTGGTGTCAGACGGTTAGTGCGTTGTACCCAAGTGAATCATCCGTACCTATTTCACTATGACTTTTCTTGGATAGAGAGCCCCTACACGACTGGTGTGGCCAGTATACTCATTCCCAGAATACAAAATGTGCCGTTTGGATGGCGTGAGAGATCTTGTGTACTCCTTAGAAAGAGTGAGAACATAAAACCATTTCTGTTTCATTGTTGTGGTTTTTTAACTTTACCTTTCCCCCCCCCCCGGCGGATGGGAGGGCACCTATCATACGATTTTTAAAATTCAGTATAAAACAAGAAGCACAGTCTTTTGTTCCATCCTATCCTCCATCTCTCTCCAGGAGTAACCATCTTTACGGCTTGCATCTCTTGACAAGTTCCTCATCTCAAAATCCTTAATGTAATTACATAGTAAGCTCTCAAAGCGTTAGCTACTACTACTACCGTTATTAACTCTTTCATTCATCAAACAAGACATGCAGTGGTAAGAGACAGCCATACTGAGAAGTGAAATGAGATGGTAGTGGAGAGGGGAAGGAAGGGTAGCCATGCTAAAATCCTCATCCATCAGAGTGAGGCATCAGGAGACGCTATCTATAGCTGACGGATGGATCAATCATAGATATTTTTTAAGAATATTTTTTAAGATATTTAAAAATATTATTTAAGATATTTAAAAAATATTTTTTAAAATATTTTTTAGAATAAATGATGGAAGAATTAAAAACAATAAATAACAGGCTGGAGGGAAGGGACAGTTAGGGAGTTTAGGGTTGACATGTACACACTGCTATATTTAAAACAGATGACCAACAAGGACCTACCGTATAGCCCCGGGAGCTCTGCTTAGTGTTATGTGGCAGCCTGGATGGGAAGGGAGTTTGGGGGAGAATGGATACATGCATATGTATGGCTGAGTCACTGTGCTGTGCACCTGAAACTATCACAACATTGATAATCGGCTATACTCTAATATAAAATAAAAAGTTTTAAAAAGTTAATAAATAACAGAGACTAGAAGGGAGAAATAGATGGCGTAGGTTTCTTATTTTTCATAGTGGGAGTCAGCAGGTAGTCATTGGGTAAATAAGCCAGGAAATGAAAGTGAGAGCTCAGTATAGGGACACAGCCACGCTACGAGGAGTCCTAAAGCCAGGCTATAAAGATAGCTTGAGAGGTCTTGTGTACTCCTTGTGGTAGAAAGGATACTCCTTTGTACCACAATTAGCAGGCACTGTGTAGTTTACCATTTCCTTAGTTCACACATCACTGTGACAGGCATTTATTAGGTGTCTACTATGCAGCAGCCAGGATGCTGGGCTGCTTGTACGATAGGTCTCAGCCTCCTAGCAGCCCACAGGATAGAAAGATTTCAGTGCAGTCATTCTGAGTCTTGATTTCCTTATCAATGAAGTGGGGAAGGGCCTTGCTCAAGGTCACACAGCGAGTAAGTGTTGGAGCCAGAGCTGGAACCGGGTCCAGCTGCAACGCATGCTCTGCAACCGCCCCTTCTAAGGTCACCTCCGGGGAATCCCAGGGCCTCAGGTTTCCAGCCCTTTTTGTCCCCTTGGCTCTGAGGGCTCCCTGGCTCCCCCCGCCCCATCGTCCCCCTTCCATCCTAGATGAAGGAGGAGCGTTTCCGGCAGCTGTTCACCGCCTTCGGCACACTGACAGACTGCAGCCTCAAGTTCACCAAAGGCGGCAAGTTCCGCAGGTTCGGCTTCATCGGCTTCAAGTCCGAGGAGGAGGCCCAAACAGCGCTGAACCATTTCAACAAGAGTTTTATCGACATGTCCCGGATCACGGTGAGTGGGTGTGAATCTCGCCCTCTCCTGCCTGTCAACAGCGACCCACTGGCTCTTTCTCTCCACGCTCAAGTCCAAAGCCTGTCCCTTTCCAGACCGTGGCATCTTTGGTCTTCCTCACAGTTCTCAAGCTCCCATGCTTGTGAATCCCCTGCAGCGTTTGTGGAAACAGTTTCCCCGGAGTTTCTGATTCTGTACGCTGGGGGAGGGAATCCAAGAATTTGCACGTCTCACGGGCTTACAGGTGCTGGTGATGCTGCTGGTCCCAGGATGAGAAGCGCTGGTCTACATTTTCATCCACTCGCCCAGTCAGTGGCTGAATTGCCTGTGCCGGGCGTGGTGGCAGGTGTCATCATCCCCCTCTCTGTCCCTCGCAGGTAGAGTTCTGCAAGTCGTTTGGGGACCCGACAAAGCCCCGAGCCTGGAGCAAGCATGCCCAGAAAACAAGCCAGTCCAAGCCCCCTCCGAAAGACAAAGACTCCATCTCCCCAGAAACTAAGAAGGTGCGTGGATGGGCACTCCTGGCTGCGTCCGGGTGTCAGCAGGGTGGTCACCCGGGAAGGCAGGGGAGGGGGAGGGACCTGAGAATCCCTCTCGGATGGTTCCCGAAAGCAGCCCTCCCAGGGCAGTGCGTTTCCATCTCCTTTCATCGTGACCCTCACCACCTGTGCCTTCTGTTTTTAGGGTGACAAGAAGAAAAAGGTAGCAGGTGAACTGGAGAAGGTGAGTCTGTCCTGGTGACAAGTGGAAGGCAGGCGGCGAGGGCGGGCCCGGCAGTCAGTGCCTTGCCGTGGCTGTGGCTCCTTGGTCTTTCTGTCTGATGAAGGGTCCACGCTGCCCTCCCTGGGACTGACCCAGCTGGCCCCAGAGGTCCTCTAGAGACTGGGGGAAATGGCCTCGGAAGATGTGCTTACCCTCTGAAGAGTTAGCAAGGGTGAGCCCTGCCTGAGCCTTCTCTGCCTGTTCTCCCTCCTTCCTGCTTCCCTGCCACCGGGCACCTGTAGCTAAGGGAAGATAACGAGTTCCAGGAGTTCCTGTCGGTTCACCAGAAGCGGACGCAGGTGGCCACCTGGGCGAATGATGCCCTGGACGTTGAGCCCTCGAAAGGGAAGAACAACTTGGCCGAAGACTACCTGAACTTCGACTCCGACTCAGGGCAGGAGAGTGAGGAGGAGGGAGCCGGAGAGGCCCCGGAAGGTAAGGGTGTGGCCCCTACCTGAGTGCGCGCCCTGCAGCGCCCGGGCCTGTGCACACGTGACCTGGGGCCCCTCCGCGCCGGGCCCAGGAGACTGCGAGTCAGACGCTGCCCCGTGGAGCAGTGATTATCCCGCCTGCGGGTACGTCAGCTTTGACCGATCCTGGTTCCTTATTCAGTCAGTTGATTACTCACTTAGATATTGATTGAGCACCAACTGTATGCCATGCGCTATTTCAGGCATTGGGGATATAGGAGTAAGCAAAAGACAGGGAATCCTGCCCCCGTGGAGCTGTCGCCCTGGTTGGGGAGAGAAACAGTAAAGACATTGGTCTCCTATTTAGTATATGATGTGAATACTGGAGCTGCAGGGAGAAAGCGGGAAAGGGAGGAATGTAGGAAAGGGGGACGGGAGAGTCACCGGGGAAGGCCTCCGAGGAGGTGGCCCTTGAGCACAGGACTGAGGGGGTGAATCTCTGTCCTCAGAAGGGGGTCACAGTGTCATGGGGGGGCGTGTGGACCTGTGAGCGACTGTGGCTCAGCGTGGTGAGTGCCATGGTCGTGGGGTGGGAATCGACTTTGGTTAAAAATGAGGGAATGAATTTAACGTTGAGTTTTATGGCTGGTAAAGTCTCTGCAAAGCTGGGATCCGAAGGACTCACTGGGAGTTGGTGCGACTCGGAAGGGATGGGGTGAGGGAAGGGGTTCCAGGCAGAGGGAACGGCATGGCAAAGGCACAGAGGGAAGGAAAAACAGGAACTTGGACGGGGGTTCCTCATGGCTCAGGGTGGCTGCAACAGTGGGAGCCGGTGAGAAGCCAGTGAGCTCACCAGGCCCGACGAGGAGTTTGGGTTTCACCCTGAGAGCATCTGGGAGCCCCTGGTGTGTTTTGATCGAGGAGTGAGAGTCCTCTCTGTAGGCAGTTGGCGAGGCTGGTGAGGGAACCCCGAAGTTCTCAGTGTGTAGCACGGAAACTGTCAAAACTCCATCAGTTTCTCCCCACTTGACGCTATTTATTCAAGGACCTACCGGGGACTGGCTGCTTGGCACGGGGCCCCTCGTCACCTCAGGCTTGGCACCTTACGTGCCACCCACCGGTCACACCCCCATGCTGTCTGCCTCCAGCCCTCTCGTTTGCTCACAACCGTCACCGGCTCCCAACCTCTCGGTTTTTCCAGAGGAAGACAGCAGCCTCGAACCCAAGGCAGCCACACGGAAGGAGCTGTCGGACATGGATTACCTGAAATCCAAGGTGGTGGAGGCCGAGTCGCCATCCTCAGAGGAGAGTGAAGATGAAGCCGTGAACTGCGAGGAAGGGAGCGAGGCCGAGGAAGAGGGTTCCTGCACCCCCGCCGCCCAGCAGGACAGGGAGGCGGCCCGAGCCGAGGTGCGTGTGCATCGGGGTGAGCTTGGGAGCCTGGGGAGGGAGGAGGTCTGCTTGGCCCTCGCCCACGTTCCCTGCAGCCCCTTTGTCGGGGCCTGTAACGTCGGGGAAAGACAGCTCAGCGGCCCAGAGACCTGTCTTCAGGTCTCGGTACTGCTGCTTGCTTGCTGTGTGACCCTGGGCAAGCATCTTCCCTCTCTGAATTTATTTCCTGTCGCTAACGCAGAGGCTGCCTGCCCCTCTTGACTTGGGGGGGAGGGGGGCGTAAATGAGCGGAAAAAGTATCCCAAGCGTATTGTACTTCGTAGTTACTAGCAAAGTAGACAGGTGTGAGCCCGTGATCAACAATAATGGATGAAATTAATTGAGCACTTACTACATGTGAGGTTCAGTACCTGGCATGTCATTTGTCGTTGAATCTCATGGGAATCTTGGGGGTTGGGGATTCTTGTCCCCTTTTACAGGTGAGGAAACTGAGGCCCAGAGAAAGGAAGTGACTCGCTCAAGGTTTCGGCTGGGAAGCGGTGGGGTCAGCACCCAGACCCAGGTCTGCTGGGCTCTGGAGTCTAGGTCATAAACGTGGGTGCTTCCTCTGGGGATGGCCGCCCCGTCTTCCACCCGGGGGTCCGCTCTGCTTAGGGCAGCTTCACACATCCTTTGGGTCTTCATTCCTTCATCTCCCTCCTCCTCTTTCTCCTTCCCCCTCTCCCTCCGTTCATTCTCTTGCCCTTCTAATTGCCATCTCCTGTCCTTTTCTCCTAGAAATTCTAAAGAGGTAGTCGAGTGTGGCTCAGTCAGGGAGCCGTGGGTTCACATCCCAGCCCTGATGTGGGGTGGCCGTGGGATGGGGTGAGGCGCTTCTCCTTGGGCCTCTGACCTGATGTGGGGTGGCCGTGGGATGGGGTGAGGCGCTTCTCCTTGGGCCTCTGACCTGATGTGGAGTGGCCGTGGGATGGGGTGAGGCGCTTCTCTCTGGGCCTCTGACCTGATGTGGGGTGGCCGTGGGATGGGGCGAGGCGCTTCTCTCTGGGCCTCTGATCTTCGTCATGTAAGGTGATGCCCAGCAGAGCACTGGTCTCTGTGTCCAGTTTCCACAACCCCTGCACCTGGGTGTGCACTGGAAATCAGAAGCTCCAGGTTTCAGGGAGATACCCCATAACTTATACGGGTCCATAAAAGCACAGGACTATTTCTGCAGTGAAGCTAGAAATGATTGTTCATCTACTTGGGGTAGACGTAAACCCTAAACTGACGTAACAGCTCAGAGTGGGCTTTGCCGGCAAATGAGTCTAAGTCAGGGCAGGTTTTGTTACCAAACGAATTAACCAAAAGATTAGGTTTCTCAGAGCTGTTTCGATTCTGAAACTACAGAAGACATCCCAAACCCTGTAAGATTGTTTTAAAGATTCAGGAGGACAGCTGTGTCTGCAAAGTGCACAACATCTGGCACAGAATACGCCCTAAATAAGTGGTAGCAAATGTCACCGTACCTCAGGGCTCCTTCCCAGGCTCTGCCCCTCCGTGTGGCCTGGCGCCCCTGTGAGCAGACCCCCAGCAAGCCGGCCTGTGGTTCTGGCCCTCATCTCAGGGGCACGTGGAGGCTTGGCACCTCCTACCGCAGGCTCTGGCCAGACTCTGCCTCCTTGGCAGGCACGATGCTTCCGGCATTGCCAGCTGGCCCTGGCGCCAGGGGCCTTGCAGCGTTCACTGCGACGCCCGGGTCGGCACCTCCTGCGGCTGCACCAGGGAGCTCACTGTGGCCGTTTCTGTTCTTTGCCATCACTCAGACCGAGACACCAGCCAACCAGAAGGAACGCACCACCACCCACACCGTGAAGCTGCGGGGAGCCCCGTTCAATGTCACAGAGGTACGCGCCAGTAACAGGGCGGGGTGAGGAGCCCCCGGGGAGCAGGAGACAAGGGTGAGGGTCCCAGGAGCCTCTGCTGCACGGGAGCTTCAGGGTCAGCTGAGGACTTCAGCCGGAGGGAACTGGGGGCCAGAAAGACTGATACACAGGATCTCGGGCATCGTCACGGTCGGGAAACAGGGCCGCCTATATGAGACCAGGAAGGACTGGTCTCAGTCACCAGTCATCTATGCTGGGGGCGGGCATACTTCTAAAAAACTTAAAAAGGACCAGCTAGTGAATACTCAGGGCTTTGTGATCAGTGTGGTCTGTGGTACGACTACTCAACCCTGCTGTCGTAGCAGAGGCAGCCCGAGGTGAGAGGTGGCCAAATAGGCCTGGCTGTTTGCCAATAGAACTTTATTTACAGAAGCAGGCGGTGGGCCACGTTTCGCCTGCGTACTGTAGTTTGCTGACTCTGGGTCTACACAGGAGAGAACACTTTGTCAATTTCCCTCCTCGTGAAAGTAGTAGAAGTTCAGCCTAGGAAATGTTTTTTAATGTAGCTAAACAACAAGAAGTAAAAATTACCTATCACTCTATAAATTGCCAACCAAACTGTGTTGAGAGAGAAGTGCTAACCAGATGGGGTACCAGGATGCAGAGCTAATTACCTACAGGTCTGATTACTATAGGAGTAAAGACTGTCCCAGGCAAACTGGAGCAAGCCCCCCTCAGTCCCCCACGTCTATATCCCATACGCTGACAACCAGTAATAAATTCTGAGTATATCTTCTTAGACATCTTTTTCTTTGTATAGAAACGTTGACCTGTGTTTTTCTTTTTTTTTTTTTAATTAATTAATTAAATTATCTTTGGTTGCGTTGGGTCTTCATTACCGCGCCTGGGCTTTCTCTAGTTGCGGTGAGAGGGGGCTACTCTTCGTGGCGGTGCGCAGGCTTCTAATTGCGGTGGCTTCTCGTTGTGGAGCATGGGCTCTAGGCACGTGGACTTCAGTAGTTGTGGCACGCAGGCTCAGTAGTCGTGACTCGCGGGCTCTAGAGTACAGGCTCAGTAGTTGTGGCGCATGGGCTTAGTTGCTCCGCGGCATGTGGGATCTTCCCGGACCAGGGCTTGACCTGTGTCCCCTACGTTGGCAGGCAGATTCTTAATCACTGCACCACCAGGGAAGTCCTGTGTCTTTTCTTTTTAAAAAGCAATCCTACAGTAGGAACTATTTTGAAACTCTTTTTCTCCCTCATCACATTATGTCATAAATATCTTTGAATAGTGAATATTCTGTTACAGCATCATTTTTCACGTTGCATGCTATTCTTTACTCTGGACACAGTGTTACGCTCACCCAACCTCCTAAATTGAGACGTGGGGATTGTTCCCCGTCTTCTGCTGATTTGAATAATAATGCAGTCAGCGCATTTCTTGAGATCAGGGGTCCACAGATGCTTTTCTGTCAACATCATTTAGTGCATATCTTAGGCTTTGTGAGCTATATGGGCTATTGCACTTTTTTTTTTTTTTTGGATAATCCTTGGAAAATGTAAAAACTATTAGCTTGCAGGCCGTGGGCAATATGTGGCCTGTGGGCTATCGTTTGCCAACCCTTGCTCCAGATAAGTACTGTATTAAGCACATCCATGTATTCAGTACATTTTTAAGTCTTTGATACAGAGTGCCAGTTGCCCTCTGGAAGCCTGGCCAGTTTATACTCCCTTAGCAGAGAATGAGAGTGCACATTTTTGTGAACCCTGGGTATTAATCTTTATCAATGTGACAGGTCAAAATGGTATCTCATTTTGATTTATATTTTCAATGATTAGTGAGGTCGATCATTCTTTCACGTTTGTGTATCATGTGTGTATCCTCTTTTGGAAAGTGCCTGATTATATTTTATGCTCTTTTTTTCTCAAAGTACTCACCTTTTTTGAGTCTGTATATTTGCTAATTATTTTTTTAAATAAAACTTAATCGCATTTCGGAGTAACAAGCATTTGGGTTCTGCTGGACTATCTGAATTGTCTGCTAATTTAGAGTCAGAGTTCTGTCAGTACCAACCATGCAGAAAATCATGTGCTTCAGTGGGGACGGGGGACATTAGATGGACTATTGCAAATAAATACATGAAAAATGATCACTTTTTTCCACAAACAGTAACAGAAAATGTAATGGAAAAACAGATTACTTTTATGAAAGAGAAAGAAAAAAAGGAAGGAAGGAAGGGAAGGAAGAAACGAAAAGACAGTCTATTTCTAGATATTCTAATGAAAATTATGTATTGGAGACTTTATAGGTATTCTAATAAAAAATTTATAGTTTCTATATAAAGAAAATGTTCAATTCCACTGAGGGATATAAACGAATGCTAACATAAATGTAAAGCCATACATTCTTAGAAAGTAAAAATGCCAGTTCCTCCCTAATTAGTGAATAAATGAGTAAATTCAGTGGGATCACAGAGTTTCGTCAGGATTGGGGGAGTGGGGGTGGGATCCCGGAGAACAGCTGGGAACATGCTGTGGGATTAGACCCTTCCCCTGCAAGATGTTGAAACATGTTTTAAAGCTACAGTAATTAAAACAGTTTGGTTCAGGTGAAGCTGTTCACAGGTTAATTCAATAGAATCGAATTCGGAAATAGACTCACATATGTATAAGCATCTAATTTAGGATAGGGTGTCTCATATCAATGAAGAGAAAAGAGATTTTTCTATAAATAGTAATGGGACAACCAGTTAACTTATGTGAAGAAAAAAAAAAGGTGGAGCCCCGCCTTACTCCTCATAGCAAGCTAAATTTCAGATGCATCAAGGATTTAAGATAAAAAACTGAGACAATAAGAGTTCTAGGAGAAAGCATTGAATTTACTTGTAATCTTGGAATGAAGAATGCTTTTCTGTATTCCGTATCCTGTAATAAACCGTAACGGAAAAGAATATGAAAAACTGTATGTATACATACACATATATACACGTATGTACACACACATATGCGTATACACATACATATATATATACACATATAACCGAATTGCTTTTCTGTACACCAGAAACTAACACAACATTGTAAATCACTATACTTCAATTAAAAAAAAAAAGAATGCCTTTCTAAGCAGTTTGCAGAACTTGGTAGTCATAAGAAAAAGATGGATTAATTGACTAGATAACATTTAAAACTTCTCTAAGGCAACTTTTTGTCATAAAGTCAAAAGACAAACAACAGACATGTATAACACAAACAACAGACAAAAACCTGCTTCTTTCATTTACAAATAGGTAAGTAGATATTGGGACCTACGTATGACCCCATAGAAAAGTGGACGAAAGATAGGAGGTCTTCTAAGAGAAAGAATTCAAATGGCTGGGAAATATGCCTGAGTTCACTCATAATTAAAGAAATACAGATCAAAACAGGAAGGTTACATTTTTGCAGAAATTTTTTAAGTTCAGTAATAAATTGTTTCACGCACTGTTGGGGGAAGTTTGCGGTGAAGCCTTTTGGAAGGCAATCTGGAAGCATCAGTCAGAATTTAAAATATACGTATGTACCTTTGACCTAGCAGTTACCTTGCTGGGAATTTGCACTACAGGCGAATCAGCCAGGTACACCAAGAGGTCAGTGCAAGAATGTTCATTGCCGCATTTTCTAATTCTTATTTTATTTATAAATTAATGTATTAATTTGTGTCATTTTATTTATAAAAACAAAAAACTGGAAACAACCTCTACGCTATATCACTAGAGAAATGGTTAAATTAGTGGGTCTCAGCTGGGGAAAGTCCCCCCCCCAACCCCCATCAGGGAACACTTGGCCCCGTCTGGAGTGCCAACAAGGTGATCTGGGCCTTGCAGTTAGGACCATTTTTGTTTTCTTCTTGGGGCTTTTCAGCATTTGCTAAATTTTTTACTCTCTGTGTTTGTGCATTTTTTAAAAAGAGTTTAAATCACCCTCACGTCCAAAAAATAGAGAAGTAGTTAAGAAAATTGGGAACCATCTACAACAGTACTCTATGTGTATCATCCCCGTGAAGTAACATGGACAAATAATCGTGCTTTGATGAGACGTGAAGAAAGCTGGGTTTAACCCCAATTAAGTAAAAGGTAGTTGGGAAAAAAAGATCAGAAGCAGTACCTTAAAATACCAGTGGTGCCATTACTATTCTGTATTTACACTCCTTGTTTCTTCTCCAACTTAAAAAAAAATTTCTTTTCCAAGGCGGTTTTAATTTACGATGGAGAAAATGTGTATAATTTAGAGGAAAGAGAGAGACTACAAAAGATGGAACACTTTGGTGTCCTTTCTGAATTCAGAAATTTGACCCATGTTTCTTTATTCGGTTTGCACTTTGGGGAAAAAACTTTTCTTCTCCTCACAGAAAAATGTCATGGAATTCCTGGCACCCCTGAAACCGGTGGCCATTCGAATAGTGAGAAATGCCCATGGAAACAAAACAGGTAAGGTCTGGGCTGTTCCGAGGGGGCTGGAGAGGCAGATGCTAGAGCTGGAAGGATGGGGCAGTGGAACTGTGGAGGTGTTTGGAGGGCAGCTACTTTCTTTCCTATTTGTGGTCCCCACTTCTGTGGATGTGGTGAAGGTGCTCAGGACAGGGGTCTGCCTCTTGTCCCCTGCCGCTGGCAGCCTAGTGTGAGGTTTTCACCTGTGCAGGCAGGGCCCAGCCCCCAGGCCTGGGGGCTCAGTAATGACTGTGGCCTTCAGCCCAGATGCAGGGGCCCACCGGGGGCTCAAAGCGAGGGGAGGCCGTGACCAGATTCAGGATGGCGCCCTGGCTGGCGAGGGAAGGGTCCGGGGGCAGGGCCCAAGGACAGGTGGGCTGCGTGGGGGCTTTTGCACCCCCAGGGGAGGGTCTTGTGATAGAGACCAAAACCCACAGGCTTTGGCGCAGGTTACGGCGCTGCCACGCGTTAGCTGTGTGTCCGTGCGCACGTCACTTAACTCCTAGAAAAGTGGGGAGGCGAGGTCTCTCGTGTTTAGGGAAGACTCCACATGCTCGTCTGTGCAAGTCAGGGCCGCGGGCACTGACGGGCAGTCACTGTGGAGGCGGCCCCTTGGTGCCAAGCTGGGTTGCAGCACCGCACCCACAGGCATTTGTCCAGAGAAGGTCAAAGAGCAGGCACTGGTCAGGACAGGGTGAGGCTGGGAGGCAGGCCAAGGCCCTCCCGTTTCCGAACGCTGCCTACAAAGGGAAATTTGCCTGGGGGGCATCAGGGAGTGTCTGCATTTTGGAGATTGGGCGAAAAGTACAGGTTCCCCCCGCCTTTCTGCTCGGATTCCCCCAAACACCTAGCACAGTGTGGGTGTTCCTCCGTGACTCCCACGATTGTCTGCAGGGCCTGCAGCCCTTACCTTTGTCGTGGTCCTTTCACAGGGTACGTCTTTGTGGATTTCAGCAGTGAAGAGGAAGTGAGGAAAGCTCTGAAATGCAACAGGGAATACATGGGTAAGGATGCCGGGCGGCCCCACGCCACGGGGTGGCAGGGGTTCGCTCATTCAGTTGCTCTGTAAGGTTATATTGAGGGCCTGCTGTGTGCCTGCCGGGCACTGCCCTGGGCACGGAGGATACAGCCGTGAGCAGAACAGACCAAAGCCCCCGCCCTCCTGGGGCAGAGATTAATAGGCTAAGTTCCCTGTAGAGGAAACTGACATCGAGAGGGGAGAGACAGGCGGTAACCAGAGGGGCCGTGCTGTGGACAGATGCAGGAGAGGGCCGGGATTGGAGGAGGTGCATTTTAAACAGGATCGTGTCAGCTTGGGCCACACTAAGCCGGCGACACTGGAACAAAAGCCAGAGGGGTAAAGGGAGCCAGCTCTGGCTTTGTGGAGCAGGGCCGTTCCAGTACAGGGAACAGCAAGTACAGGGAACAGCAAGTACAGGGTCTGGAGCTGGGAGGTCACCTGAACAAGATATCCAAGGACGTGCTCTTTGGCCTGTCCCTGGTATGGACAGGTGATTCAGGTCCAGCCATTGACCCCTTGTGAAGACACAAGTTCTGTTAGGGAAGAGGAGAAACCTAAGCAGTCTTGCTAGCAAGTCAGGTGGTAGGTGTTTATTGAGCACCTGCTGTGTGCATGTGGAGGTGATGGTGGTGGTCGTGGTCTAATCAGGAGCCCGGGGCAATGCATGGACGCAGTTCAGCAGCAGCACAAGGTGGCTCTTCAGGGTTGGGCTGTCACGTGAGATGATTCCCAGGGCAGTGCCAGGGGCCGTGCCCTGGAATTGGGAGGATGCAGCCCCACGGGCCAGGCGGCCCAGGCAGGCTCCCCCCTGAGCTAAAGCCGAGCTCGCAGGATAAGTGAGATTGAGGCCTGGCTTTGGCTGGGGCCGCCACCCTGGTTAACAGAGCCTGGTGTCTGGCACTGTCACCAGCCACCTTCACCATGGCTTCCGGAAGGCAGCAACAGAGTCTGGAAGCTGGCAGGTTCCGGGCCTCCCCTGGGGCCCTGACTGCCTCTCCTTGTGCAGGTGGACGCTACATCGAGGTGTTTAGGGAAAAGAACGTCCCCGCAGCCAAGGTGCCCCCAGAGAATAGCGCCAAACCCTGGCAAGGCCGGACACTCGGGGAGCATGAAGAGGAAGAGGACCTGGCCGACTCTGGGAGGCTCTTTGTGCGAAACCTGCCCTACACCAGCTCTGAGGAAGACCTGGAGAAGCTCTTCTCCAAATACGGTAGGGGCATGGCCTCTGGCTCACCACAGGCACCTGCAGCGGGTGGTCCGAGTCCCCATGTGCCTCCTGCAGCTCTTGACCTTGGGCTAATGACGGCCCCCTCTGGCCTCAGTTTTCTCATCCATAAAATGGGCCTCACCATCTCTGAGCTGCTGTGAAGATTCAAACAGTATGTAGACAGCAGAACTCGAAGTCCTAGATGGCATCACAGGCACCTTTCATGGTCTGAACCCAGACTCCCTTAGCTTTCACTCACTAAACTCAGAACTGACGGGGTTTGGGTACAGTTTTCTGAGATGTCTCTGGTATCTGAACCCTTGCTCTGCTCTTGGAAGCCCACTCACTGTGTGTGTTGATATGAAGTGCTCCCCAGTCTGAACTCTGCTGTCTAAATAGTCTTGCTCTCCAGACCGAGCATCCGGATGCGTTTGCTAGTGAGGGCCGTTTTCATTGTTGTCGTGGTTGCTGGCTTTATTTTGCAGGACACAGACTTGAAGGCCTGTGGTTCACCTTGGCACATGGAGCTGTGCTTGTTTGTAGGGTCGTGGTTGTTGAAGGGAAGGAAGTTAGGGCTCAGAATGGCAGGCGAGGTCTAGATGCTTTTAAGATCCCCTGGAGTGTCCCCCTGCTTTTCTTCAGAGACCAGTTGTGGGTTGCAGGGAATCCGAGCTCGGTCGAGTGCTTGTCTTCCGGACAAGGAGGCCCTGAGTAGGATTCTGCGATCAGGCAAATTGGTGTCACCTCCTGGCCTGTGTCCTGCTGTCCTGTCGCCAGATCTTCCCGCACAGGCTGGTGCCCTGGTTTACGTGGCAGGGCCGGGCACTGGAGAGGGGGTCATCAGTAGACTCGAAGTATCCATCCGGGAAGATAAAGCCGGGGAAGGAGGAGTTGGTCACACCCTGGTGTTCAGAGTGGAAGGTGTGTACTTTAATGTGAGCATCATAATAATATCCCAGCAGACACTTCTGTGGCCCCACGTCACCAGCAGGCACTGCTTAGTACATGACACGTATTAGTGCGTTTAACCCTCCCCGCCGTCCTCCGAGCTGGGTATTCTTAACGATACCATTTTACAGATGAGAAGCCTGAGGCCCGTAAAACCCTGTGGCTTGCCCGAGGCCACACGTATAGTATGTGATGCAGGAGGGTCCAGGCCAGACACCTCTGCTCTCAGAATAGACACACGAAGGGTTGTGGAAGGACACCCTGACCCATGAGGGGGTCTCACGGCAGCCCCTTGCCACCTTCTGTCCTGGGCCAAGCGGCGGCAGCAGCTCCACGCTCTCCCTGGTTAAAACCCATAGCTTGACTAGTGCCCAGAGTTTTCTCACCCAGCTCTGGCCTGCAGGACACTGATGCCCTTCCTACCCTCAGGTCCCCTGTCTGAGCTGCATTACCCCATCGACAGCCTGACCAAGAAGCCCAAGGGCTTTGCCTTCATCACCTTCATGTTCCCGGAGCACGCCGTGAAGGCCTACGCGGAGGTGGATGGGCAGGTGTTCCAGGTGATGGCCCGTGGGGTGGCGGGCGGCTGCCGGGCCCAGGTGATGGGGAGAGGCTGTGGGCGTGTGCGCGTGCGCGCAGGCACGAAACCACACCCACGCTTCTAGGGAAGCACACCTGATGCACGTGAAGCTGCCTCCTGATCCGAGCTGCCTCCAGGGGCAGGGTCTGCTCTGTCCTGTTCACGGGTCTATCGTTAGCCCCTAGAGGAGCACCTGGCCCATAGTGGGCCCTTAAAAAGTGTCTGTGGATTAAATGAACATGCTCTCTCAAAATACCACTTGGAAGAGGAAGGAGTAAGGAAAGAAAGAGTTTTGACCCAGTCATTGAAATGGCCACAGTAGAATATAAGAAACGCTTCTTTCTTCCAGATACCGTGCTTAGCACACAAGCCGAAGCCCCAGGCTGCCTCGCCTCCCTTTCCTGTTCGTTCGTTCGTTCATTCATTCATGATTTATTGATTCCCTGTGACTGCAGGCTGAACCTGGCTCCTGCCCGCGTGGAGCTCACACCCTCACCGGGACAGAGTCGGGTGGGGAGCCCTGCAGGTGTCACTTACAAACCGATCAGCGTCCTCTGTGAAGCTTTGTCAGGTGTCCCCCGTCACAAAGTCAGGCCCCTGTGCCACATGGCCAGGCCCCTGTTCTGGGTTCAGGGCAGCCTCGTGGGCATCCTGCCTGAGGCCCCCGTCTTGTGACAAGGGTCTCAGTACTGGGTCCAGCCCCCTCGTGGAGAGGCCGACATACCCGGGGCAGGATGTAGAAGCGCCTGCCCCCTTCCTGTCTTTACCCCCTTCCCCTCGTCCTCCTTCAGGGCAGGATGCTCCACGTGTTACCATCCACCATCAAGAAGGAGGCCAGCGAGGACGCAGACGCCCCAGGATCATCGTCTTACAAGAAGAAGAAAGAGTCAAAAGACAAAGCCAACAGCTCCAGGTCCATACCTGCCTCTGACCCAGGCTTTGGCTGCCCTCGCCCCTCCTTGCCTAGCTGCCAGGGTACCCTGACTCCTCGTGGTGGCTTTAGCCCCTCATCCATAACTTTGCTGAGCCTCAGTTTCCTCATCTGCAAAATGGGAAGAATCAGTGGTGCCTCACTTTTGTGGTGTCGTAAGGATTGAGTCAATGTAAGCAAAGTGCTTGGTCCCTGGTGCTGAGTAAGCGCTTGACAGACGTTAGGGCTTATTAATATCATCGTGGCTTTTGTTGTCTTCAGGCCCTGGTACTTGGCCCATGCCAAGTAAGATGGGGGAGAGGAGGCTTCGGGGACTTAGGAAGGCAGGCCCACAAGCGCGTTTCTTCCAGGCTTTGCATCTGCAAACAGTTGCCCCCAGTCAGCCACGGTCTCACCTCTCTGTTCTGCCTCTGACTCAGCTCTCACAACTGGAACGCGCTGTTCATGGGCCCGAATGCAGTGGCCGACGCCATCGCCCAGAAGTACAGCGCCACCAAGAGCCAAGTGTTTGACCATGTGAGTGGGCGCCCTGTCTGAGGTGCCCCCGGCTCTGGGCAGGGGAGCGGGTGGGGTCGGGCTGGGGTTGTCCACCAGCTTGTCCTCTGGGGCCTCCCCCACGGAAGCATCCACCCTGCCCTGGCTTCTCGTGGGCGAGTGTGGAGCCACGTACAGAAAGGAACTGACGATGAGCGCTTAGCGTGCGGTGCTCCTCTCGCCCCACTTCCCAGATGAAGAACTGGAGGCCCAGGGTCACACGCCTGGAAACAGGCAGAGGTGGGGTGACCCAGGTCAACCCGAATCCACTGCCCTTGCTCTGAACCACTCCCCAGAGGTGGTCCCACCCACTTCTGGGCCCAGCCAGCCCAGGTCTTTGAGATGAGCACGGGGTAGGTCGTAGGTCTCTGACCGTCCCCTTCTTCCAAGTCTGACCTTGTTCCTCCCGACCTTCCCCTCCGTCCATTTGGCTTCTCCAGATCACATACCTTCCTTTAAATGCTGTGTCTCCAGTTAGGCCGTGGCCAAGTTCATCTTTGGCAAAACCTGGGAGTGTGTTTTTCAGCCAGCAGGCAAAGGATATCCATAGATTTGGTCCATAAACTTGCTGGCCATCGTCATTTACTGCCCCTGCCCCATGCTGAAGGGCAGCGCTGTCCCCCAGAAATAGAATGTGAGCCCCACACAGAATTGTAAATGTCCAAGGGGCCACGTTTTTAAAAAGGAAAAAGGAAAAAGGAACAGGCAAAGCTAACTTTCAGAGTTAATTTTTCAGAATAGAATCTATTCTATTAATTCGATACGGCCAAGATATTATTAGTTCATCATCCACAATATAAAAAGTGACAAGCTGTCTTGCACTGCTTTCTTTCCCCTCACTGAGTGTTTAAAATTCAGTGCGTGTCTTACACTGGGTTCGGACGCGCCGCGTTTCAGGTGCCCAGTGGCTGAGCTCGTGGGCACTGTGTTGGCCACACAGCTCTGGACCTCAGCCAGTCAGGAGGGGCTGCATCTGGTTCAGATCCCACCAGTGCTCTGAGCACTGGGAAGAGAGCAGGGCCCTAAAGGGAAACAGTCCTGCTCTTCTAGAGCCTTCCAGCAGAGGAAGACACTAGCTCATTAACAGAGGTGCCGCATGTTGGCGTGATGGCTTGAAGAAGGCTTAAGCTGAGTAAGGGGAGAGGGTGTGAGAGCGAGGCAGGAGGCAGGCTGCTCAGCGGTGCGACATTCTAGCAGAAATTGAATGGAGGGCAGAGGTGAGCACACAGAAGCCCTCAGGTGGGAATGAACTTGGCATGAGTCCCGTACATATGGCTGCAGGGGAGGGAGCAGGCGGGAGATGGGGGAGGGGAAGCTGGAGGGGAGGCGCGGGGTTCTTGATTCACCCTGACAGATGCGGAACCCAGAGCCATCAAGCCAGAGTGGGTGTCCACGGGGGGAGCATCCGCGGGGGCCATCCGCGGGGTCGGGCTCCGTGCAAGCCTCCTCCTCGGGCTGTTGGGAGATGGGACAGCCGACCCGTCACCTGCCCGACAGCCAACAGGGAGACAGCCAACAGGTCTCCCTCCCACAGGAGACCAAGGGCAGCGTGGCCGTGCGCGTGGCCCTGGGAGAGACCCAGCTCGTCCAAGAGGTGCGGCGCTTCCTCCTCGACAATGGGGTCAGTCTGGACTCCTTCAGCCAGGTGAGTGCCCGCTGCCCAGCCCAGCGAGCTGCTCAGGGCTCGCCCCCCCACCCCTGGAGAGCTGGGGGCGGAGTCTCACATCAGCAGACGTGTGGATGGGTGGGAGGGTCAGGCTTTTCAAAGATGATTAGCATTAACTTTGCAGCTGCGCTTAAGAAAGAAAGAAAGAAAGATCATCAGCTCAGACTCGTGGCCCAGTGGCCCATCGGACCTGGATGGGGGGCCGTAAGCAAGAGTTTCTCCACGCAGGTGGGGGGGGCCCCTAAGCATCCTGTTCCCCGACCTAGCACCTTACTAAGAGCACCTGTTACCTGTTTCGGAATCGAGACCTTTCTTGAATCACATAGGGGAAGTTTCCTCCACGTGCTTATTCCTTAGCAGGTAGAAGTTCTTAGGTGTCTGGATGATGAAGTCTTGGAGGGCCCACTGAGAACACCTGACATCCTCCCCTTTGTCTTACAGACTGGGAACCTGAGGCCCAGAGAGTGGGGAGGGGACTTAGATCAGACAGTGAGTCTGTGACAGGGGCCTGGACTCAACTCAGGGCTTCTGACCCCCAAACTGCTGTTTCCTCAGCCTCACCAAACCTTAAGAGTTTCACCATAAAAGGACGGTTAGGATGCATGCACCCCAGTGTTCATTGCAGCACTATTTACAATAGCCAAGACACGGAAGCAACGTAAGTGTCCATCGACAGGAATGGATAAAGAAGATGTGGTACATATTAACAATGGAATATTACTCAGCCGTAAAAAAGAATGAAATAATGCCATTTGCAGCAATATGGATGGACCTAGAGATTGTCATACTAAGTGAAGTAAGTCAGACAGAGAAAGACAGATATCATATGATATCACTTATATGTGGAATCTAAAAAAGAAAAACCTTATTTCCAAAACAGAAACAGACTCACAGACTTTGAAAACAAACTTATGGTTACCAAAGGTTAAATGTGAGGGAGAGGGATAAATTAGGAGTTTGGGATTAACAAATACACATCACTATATATAAAATAGATTATCAGCAAGGACCTACTGTACAGCACAGGGAACCCCACTCAGTGTTCTGTAACAATCAATGTGGGAAAAGAATGTGAAAAAGAATGGATGTATGTATATGTATAAATGAATCACTGCTGAACACCTGAAACTAACACAACACGGTAAATTAACTATACTGCAACGTAAAATAAAATTTAAAAAAAAAAGGAAAGAAAGCTGAGGCCCAGAGGGAAGAAAAGCACTTGACCCAAGATTTCAAATTAGATTGGTGGCCAGGTGGAGACTCATACCCAGATGTGCCCTATGCCTGGAATCCTCCCGTTAATTTTTTTTGGCTCTTTTATTCTCCATCCAGCATGCTTTAATAGTAAAATAATTGCTAATGTTAGCAGTTGCTAAGCAGCGTGCTTACGTCAACGCTTTTGATTGACTACTTTCCTGGGACGACCCATGAAATAGGTGCTGTGTGCTCATGTCAGGTGAGGGGCTGAATACATTTCAAGTGCATTTCTCAAGGCCGTACATCTGGTATCTTGGTTTGGGTTCTTCCAAAAGCCGACTGAGACAAAGATTCAAGCGCAAGTAGTTCACTGGACGGAAAACACTGGCGAGAAGGGACGGGGAGGGGAGACCAGCAAAGGGCATGCTCGGCCCAGTGCCACTGGTGGAACAGTGGGCTGGCACCTTCCCCGGGGGACACCGCCCAACTCGGAGTTGTCCCACCCAAAGGACAGGTGACACGCCAACTCCTGAGAGCCACGGGCAGCTCCCATGGGGTGTTAACTTCTGACGTGTGGCGTCAGGCGTTCTGCAGATCCGGGAAAAGACCCCTAGCACAGAGATGCAGATCCCGGCCCTGGGCTGGAGGGTCCTGGAAGGTCCAGCGAGGGCTGTGGTTGGGCGCTGTCAGAATTTGCCTCGGCTCAGTAGTGGAGGGGCCGGGATTTGACCTGGGGGGTCCAGTTCCAGAGCCCTCTCCCTCATCCACTCCTCGGGGCCGCCTCTCATCCACAGGGTGGCGCACACGAGAGGTGGGGTCTCCTGGACCTGCTTCCTGAGGGCCTGGTACCCGAGGTCCCACGTGGCCGCCTGGTCCAGAGTCACCCACCGATCAGTACTGGCGTCGGGGCTCAGTGACCCTCCTTTCCATCGTCCCACATGAGCTGTGCCCTCCCTGCAGGCCGCCGCTGAGCGAAGCAAGACCGTGATCCTGGTGAAGAACCTCCCGGCCGGCACCCTGGCGGCCGAGCTGCAGGAGACCTTTGGCCGCTTCGGCAGCCTGGGTCGCGTGCTGCTGCCAGAGGGCGGCATCACGGCCATCGTGGAGTTCCTGGAGCCGCTGGAGGCCCGCAAGGCCTTCCGACACCTGGCCTACTCCAAGGTAGGGCTGCCCAAGCCCCGCTTCAGGGAGAGGACGGAGGGAGCTGACGGGCGGACAGTCTTGGCATAGACCTGGCACGTGCAAGCACTTGCTGGAAACCAGCCATGTCTGTCGGGATTGTGAATGTCATCCCGCCCCGGGAGCACCTCTGGACGGGGCAGTGTGAGGGGCAGGCTCAAAACATCCTCCGGAAAGCCTGCCTCGGTTCCCTGCCGATTCTGGCTTTCCTCAGCTTTCTATTCCCCCATGACTTTGAACCATCATCCTCGGCGCTTTGGATATCTTATACCTACAATTAGTTGAAAGTCAGTTCTGTAGGTGGGCTACCTCCTGATTTTTGGTCATAAGGAAGAAAAAGTTACATGTGTCAGTGTATTCCTTTCTGTGGCTGCCATAACAAGTTACTACCAATTTAGTGACTTAAAAGAAGAGAAATGTATTCTCTCACAGTTCTGGGGGTCTGAAGTCTAAAATCAAGGTGCCCAAGGGCCATTCTCCCTTCGAAGGCTCTTGTGGGTGGGGGGAGGGATCTTTCCTTGCCTCTTCCGGTGCCTGGTGACTCCAGGTGTCCCTTGGCTTGTGGCCGCATCACTCCAGTCTCTGCCTCTGTCCATATGGCCTTTTCTCCATCTCAAATCTTCCCTCTGCTTTTCTCTTACATGGACGCTTGTCACTGGATTTAGGGCCCACCCAGATAATCCAGAATGATCTCATCTCAGGATCTTTTATTTAATGACATTTGCAGAGGCCTTTTTTCCAAATAAGGCCACATTCATAGCTTCTGGGAGTTGGGATGTGGACATATCATTTGAAGGGCCACCATTCAGCCCACTGCAAGTAGCTTCTCTTTATCAAGGACTTTAATGCTTTGCTGACTGTTTATCAGTGTCTTGTTTATCCTTCTTTTTAAAAAAACCTCTCTGCATGTACGTATGTGTATACTCACTGCCTGTGAGTGTACGTATGTGGAGGGAGAGAAAGCATGGTTGGTGTCCGGTGGCCCTGTTGCACTTCCTCCAGGAGGGCTGCCCTGTATCAGTGATTCTGCTCCCCCGTCCCACTCCCTGTTCACACTCTTGATTAGAGAAAGCACCGGGGGATGCAGACGTATTCAATGACAGCAGCTGCTCCAGCCTCTCACCTGAACCCTGAGCTGCAGCGAGGGGATCAGGCAGCACATAGAGTTCTGTACTCTGAGCCTCAGGCTCTTTGTCTGTGTCGTGGACTGAGTCCCTCCCCCGCCCCGTCTCTGCAGTTCCACCACGTCCCCCTGTATCTGGAGTGGGCTCCGGTGGGCATCTTTTCCAGCCCAGCCCCACACAAGAAAGAACTCCAAGATGCACCAGCAGAGCCGGCCGGAAAGGACAGGATGGAGCCAGAAACAGGTAAGAGCTGGGCCTGAGATCAGGATGTCCTGGGGCAGCAGGCAGGGGAAGGACAGAGGGCTAGGGGGCAGCACTAAATTGTTTATCAGGTATTTCTTTTAAAGTTCTGTATTCATCCTGAGACTGGCGGGTCCCCATCTCTTGAGTTTTATAGGCACGTAAAATGTCCTTAAAAAAAATAGAGCATAAAAATTTTGGATACAACATAAGGTAGCCAACTATCTTGGCTTATCAAGTATAGGTTGTGAAAGGAAAAATTAAAAAACCCACTAGATTTAAAAAAAACCCACAGGGATTCGGAACAGAGCAAGAGAAAATAGCCTTCTGGGTCGTATTGATACATCCGCCGGGATGAGCAGGGCTGTTGGAGATGTTTATTCTCCCGGGTCCCTGGGATGGTATGGCGTCCTCTGGTGCCCAGTGGCTGCAAAGGCAGGAAAAGGAAGGGAGGCGGGGACCCAACCCTCAGCTGATGCTTCACACTCGGGTGAGGAGGGGGTGCTCCTGGCACTCAGGGCAGCGCAGTTCTTCCCTGTCGGGACTGTTCTACAAATGGTAAGACATTTTGCTGACCCTGCCCACTGAATGTCAGGACTGCCCCTGTAATTGTGACGATCTGATACCCCTTCCCTGTATGCCAGATGCCCTCTAGGGGGCAGTGCAGCCCTCAACTGAGAACCACTTAGGGGACCACGACTCCATCCTAGAAGCAAAGACCTTTAGAAAAGCTTTGAAGAACACCCTTACCCAGACATTAAGATCTTGCCCATCGGTAATATCCCTCCTCCGTACCTCCATCTTAACGTAGGGTTGCCGGTTGATTAAAATAAGGATTAAAAGAATACATCTCCTGTATACCCTCTCCATTGTCCTCATAAAAGAATGGGGGTGGGGATGGGAATTCTCAGATTAAAGAACAGTCCTTTAACTGAATAGACCTCCCTGTCCATAAACCTCCCTAGGCTGTCTGCACTTCCCAGTTCATCTTGGATCGGTAAAACCTCCTCAGGACTGGCCCAAGCCACTACAAGGCATCTGGGAACCCCTGGTCTAGAAGCCTTGTTTCAGTCAGGAAGGAAAATTCTTCAGTCTCTGCTTTCTGAGGCCCCCGAAAGCATCCCTTAGCCATTGGGGTTACCTACTGACCACTGATATAAATCTTTCAAAAGCCCCTCACTAGCCCCTGTTGAGTTATTTTTGGCCACAGATTGGATTAACGTTCTCTTCCACCGTGCTTATGCTTCCGTCAAGAAGAATTCTCTTTATATAGTCACGGTTTCTTCTTAACTAGCGATCACCCCCAAATTATCAGCGACCTTGGTTTCAACTTCAGTCACTAAACTTGGACATGACTAATGTTTTTCGGCCAAAAGCAAGTCCTCCTTTAAAGCACAGACTTGCCAGGAGCGAGGGCCCTGGAAACAGATCCAGCAGAGGCCTCTCCTAGCTTTGGCGGAACCACTAAGTATGGTGCCTCCCCGGGGGGCCGCTGCCCTGTGGCCACACTCTTTTGCAGGTGTCCCGGTGCTTCCCTCCCTTCTCTCTGTTTTCTTCTGTGACACTCGTCACGGTTTGTGTTTATCCTGTTTATTCGTTTGTTTTACTTGTTTAACATCCCTCGCTGGTGAGCCACGCGAGGGCAGGGCGTGGCCGTCTCGCTCACTGCTGGGCGCAAGCATCCCGTAGGGCCCCGGGCGTGGGGTAGCTCAGGAATGTGAGTTGAGGGAGTGAAGGAATGCAGGAAGAAGGGTTTCTGTGCCTCTCTGTCTCTCTTTACCTGTGAAGAGTAGGGCTGGGCCATCCTCGTCCTTGTGTCCCAAGCCCCGGCACATAGTAGAGCGTGGTGACGTCGGCACATTTGTTCTGCATCGTTGTTTAAGCATCAGAGCGTGGCGCCACCCATCGCGTAACCGTGGCTCCCTTCATGGGGCTGATTTATACCCCCCCCTCCCCTCACCCTTAAACTTTGTTTTAAAGGCTTACTGCTTCCCGGAAGTGTGTCATTATGGGTTCCCTTCCTCAGTGTCTGTCTGACTCCCTCACTAGACGTCCATCCCATAGGGCGGGTACCTCGTCTGCTTGTGCACTGCTGTGCCCCGGCACCCAGGAAGGTGCCCAGCGTCTGGTGGGAGAGCAGTCAGTAGGTGCTGAGCGAATCCACAGGCAAAAGCAGCATTTCCTCCATGCCCGGCCCTGCGCTAAGCACTTTGGGTCCTCCGTACGTGAGGCTTACAGCTCCCGGGGAAGTCACTGTCTTCCTTGTCCCCGCCTAGCCCAGTGACTGGGCAAAGCCACCAGCCTCCGAGGCTGTTCCTGCATCTGTAATATGGGCAGAAGGCCTTTGTGAGAGTTCAGTGAGAAGCCGCCCGAGTCACCGTTCTCTGACCCTCGTCCTAATTCAGCAGCATAAGGTGAAGTGGATGGTCTCTAACTCAGCCCTGAGCACCAGCTGGATTCCAGCCACTGAGCTGGGGCGACCAAGATGGGCCCAACACATACCGCTTCCTCAGAAGCTCCCGGGCTGCTAGGAGGACGGGTGGGGCTGTTCGGGGGTAGCTGAGATGTCACAGTAATAGAAGTGGGCCCTGGGTGCAGAATGTTCTGGAGCACAGCGAGGGGAGGCTTTGCAGAGATAGCGTGCCCTGGTCGGAAGGTGGAAGGCTGCCCCTGCCTGCCCCCAGCATCCCCTGGGTGCCCGGGCCTAGGTTCCAGTGTTGAGAACATCCCAGACAGACTGTCCCCAACAGGCCCTGCCTCTTAGGGGGCTGCTGTCCAGGGTCCTGCCGCCCCTCACACAAAGGAGGCCTCGGAGCTAGGAGGAGGGAGCCAGTAGTTGCAGCAAATAGATGGGATAGGGACCAAGAAGCTGTGCACGCCTGAGCTGATTTCACGCCCCGCTGAGTCCTGTGTCGTCAGGCGGATCCCCGCAGGACTCATCTCCCGAGCCTCCTTTTGCCCTTTTTTATTCCTTTTCTTACCTGTATCACACACACGGTCCCCTCCCCGGTCCCCGAGCTGTTCCTTTTCACCTGCTGCTCCCCCACGCCCGCCCCTCTGCACATGGTTCCTGAAGCTTCCCCATTTCCCCATCCCCACTGCCGGGGACCAGCCGGCCCCCAAGCCCTGGATTTTCTCAGGCTCTGCAGGAAGGCAGCAGGAGGGGAGTGGACAGAGAGGGTTGTTTTGTTCACCAGCGCCCCCCCCCCGACACCTGTCTTTTCGGCGAAGCCCTCCATTCCCTGTACCTTTCTCGGGGGGGGGGGGACAGTGTGTTTTATCTCCCCACAACCAAGACCCTCACCTCCAGATAAAGGGCTCCAAGTCGGGGGAGGTCCTGAAAAGCTGCTTGCAACTGATAACAGTCTCTGCTGTCAGCCTTCCGCGCAGAGAGCCGGAAGGGGGAGGGAGCGACTGTAAATTCTGCGGCCTGATTATAATAAAGCCCCATGTGGTGATGCGTGACTGGATTTTATTGTGCCAACTACAGATGGACGGTATTCCCCCCTGCCTCTCCCAGCCCCCTCCAGCCCACCTTGCTTTCCGCGCCTTCCTCGCACCCTCACCCCACCCCCGCCCCCATCCCCATCCTGCGCTTCTTCCCACTTTTCCTGGTTCCTGGTGAGGTCGTTGGCAAACATCTGTTCGTTTTGTGATACCTCCTTTTTCCTTGCTAGTCTTCCTGTCGTCACCCCACTTGAGGCCAGGGGCAGAAGCGCTTTTCTTTCTCTTTTTTTTTTAAGTTTATTTATTTTCTTTATTTTATTTTTGGCTGCGTTAGGTCTTCGTTGCTGTGCGCGGGCTTTCTCTAGTTGCGGCGAGCGGGGCCTACTCTTCGTTGCGGTGCGCGGGCCTCTCATTGCGGTGGCTTCTCTTGTTGCGGAGCACGGGCTCTAGGTGCGCGGGCTTCAGTAGTTGTGGCACGTGGGCTCAGTAGTTGTGGCTCGCGGGCTCTAGAGCGCAGGCTCAGTAGTTCTGGCTCACGGGCTTAGTTGCTCCACAGCACGTGGGATCTTCCCAGACCAGGGCTCGAACCCATGTCCCCTGCATTGGCAGGTGGATTCTTAACCACTCTGCCACCAGGGGAGCCTGGCAGAAAAGCACTTTTAACAGTGACCTTTGGCTTCGTCCTTGGCCCTTGGCCGTTTCCACACCTCTCTGGACATGGGCATGGGTCGTAGCAGGGCCTGGCCACTTGAGCGGGGCAGAAGCTCTTCCCAGGGATGTGGCCGACAGAGACACAGTCCCCTGCACTCAGACCTGCGGCTCTGGCTGTTCTTCTCAAAAGCCTGCAGCCGGCTGGCCTGCCTCTTCCGGCAATGGGCCTGCGGAGGTAGGGATTCCTGACATTTTCCCCTGGCCCAGACACTGTTTTATCTGGGTTTCTGTGCGTTAATTCTCATAATTGTCTTGCAAGTGGACCCTGTGATTGTCTTTCTCCTTTTTTGAATGGAAAGAAGGAAGCATAGGGAGGTTGAGTGACTTATGCAGAGTCACACATCTGGAAAGAGGTGGGCTGTGCCCAGGCCACCAGCTCCCAGGTCTGTGCTCCTAGCTGTGACCCCACAGCTCCTGTCGGTCACACTAAGTGCCATTTGTGTAGCAGATCATCATCCACCGATATTTTTGGAGCATCTGCTCTGGGCCCGGTGCTGGGGGTGCAGAGGTTACTGAGTCAGATGTGGTCTCGTCCTCAGAGAGCTCCCCTTGTAGTTGGGGGACACAGAGAAGTGAACCGATAAGGTGATTTCAGAAAGGGGTAAGGCCTCTGAAGGAAAGGTACCCAGGGGACTCTGATGGCAAGTGGCCAGGCCTGTGCTGGGGACAACTGCACAGGAGGAGCTCTGAGGGGAGGACGTTTGAGCTGAGACCTGACAAGAAGCCAGGCCTGGGAAAATGGGATGAGCAGAACAGGCAGAGGAGACAGATGGCAAGTGCAAAGGCCCTGTGGCAGGGATGGGTCTTGGCAGGCTCAGAGATCAGAATAGAGGCTGGTGCAGCTGGAATGGAGCAGGCGAGGAGACAGAATGGGAGAAGCTGGCAGGCCAGGGACAGGTGCCGACGGGAGACCAGTGAGGAGAACACCCGGTCATCCACACAAGAGGCAACGGTGCCCTGGACCGGGGACCCAGCGTGCGTATGGAGTAGCAGACATTCGAATTTCCAAAGAAGCCAGCAGAGAAAAGGGGAGTGTGTGTGTGTGTGTGTGTGTGTGTGTGTGTGTGTGTGTGTGTGTGTGTGTGTGTCATCACGGGGACCCTGACCCAGACCACTCTCACTTCGAAGGCCGTGCGCTTTCACAGCTCTGCGCTGCCTCCTGACTGTGGTCTCTGGGCCCCCTTCTCGTGTTCTTCAGGCCCCCTTTTTTCAGCAGATCTCGAGACTGGGATGCCCTTGTCTTTGTTAGCTCTTCCAGCATCCCAGGGGGAGTTGCAGACTGGGGGAGGTGGTGGCTGGGTACACAGAGGTTTGGAGAAACAACGGACATCTCTGTGCTGTTGGAGCAAAGCCAGGCTGCATTTAATCGTGTCTTTTATTTCAAGCTGGATGTTCTCCTGGATGTTGGGGGTCAGGGGCGTTGGCTGACTTAGTAGAAGTGGGAGGAGCCAGGCCAGCTGCACACCCGGGTAGGTGATAGGTCCTGGCCGTCCTCGCAGTCCCCTCTTGTTCCCCCTGGGCTGGGACTGAGGGCAGCTCACCCTCCGGGGAAGGGATCTGTCTGTTCCTGGGGTGCCAACCCTGACTGCAAGCTCATCTCAGCTCTGTCACGAAATGCAAACATCACACTTCCTGGGCAGGGGCCTGTGACCTTTGAAATAAGTGCTTTGAAGCAGACCAGCCCTTGCTCCTGGGGCAGGGAGGCAGCAAGGAGTGGACTCTGGCCCTGTTCACAGCCCCTGGGCTCCCCGGAGCTGTTGTCCTTGTGAGGCTTCAGATCCCTGGAATGCCACGCTGGGAACTGGCTGGATTCCAGGCCCTTGGGAGAGGCAGAGGGACGGGTCGTTGGGCTTTGCCAGGCTGGAAGTGGGGAGCAGGGCACGAAGGCCCATAAGCTGGTTTAAATCAGTCTGTTGACCACTGCCTAGTACAGAAGCCACATGCCGCTGAGTTAGTTGCCAAGAGTTTTAAAATGTGGGTTTTCCCATGAAAAGCTGGATTTTCAGCTTCTCGTGAAAGCTCTGAACACCTGGCCACACTTGGGTTGATCTGTCCTCGTGACAGCGATTGGCCGGTGCCGCGAACGGGCTGCCCCTTGAACCGGCACGGTGCTCTCTCAGTCACCATCATCCCCCCCATTCTGTTCTCTACAAAAAAAATCTTTTCAGTCTCGCATGAACCTCTCTCCCAACATGAAGTTGCCTGAGGTTTAGAGTTCAGATGCAGCGAACTCCAGAACTTTCCATGGACCACCGGTTTACTGTGATGCAGTGCTATGGTCTGCGGTGAGATAGCATCCTCGCAGGCCTAGCCCAGTCCCCGCACGCAGTGGGGCATCTGATTGGCACCCCTTCCTCTCTCCTTTTATCTCCAAGACACATCAGACGTGAGGCGAGCCTGTGGGGTGGGTGTCCTTCGCAGCTGAGGGGCGTGGTCTTCCTTTCCATTGAAGTTCTCATTCACCACCTGGAATCTTAGCCTGTCTGCTTAGCTTTGCTTCCCCATCATCAGTAATACTTTTTCTACCCTGCTTTGCTTTGGAAGTTGGGTTTTGAGGACAAATGGCCACACCACGGAGTCCCGGTGGGTAAATTGCATTAGTCGCTTGGGTGGGGGAGGAGCCTTTATGTATAGATTTCTCCTTTTTTGTCCTGGAGCGAGAGTCTGGATTCTGGGTTCACCTCCGAGGGAGCGTGAAGGGAGAAGGCTGCCCGTTCAGCTGATGTGAAATGGGCAACATCCTCACTGTCGCTCTTTCCATTAGGGATTGAAAGGGTTGTTTTATGACAAAGCGGTTGAAGTTCAGTTAGGACTGGCCAGCAGTAGGCTTGCATCAGAAAGGGCCGGGGGTGATGGAGAGGACTGTCGTGCTCGGCGTGAGAGCGTGCGGGACGGGTTTGAAGCCCCGGAAGCTCCCTTGGCCTTGAACTACTTGCGTGCAAGTGGGCACGAGAGAATGAGTGTCCCCGTCCGCTGCAGGTTGGCACGTGCAGGGCTCAGACCTGAGGGGGGGTCGGGGCCACATGCTCAGAACCATGAGGGTGGGAGCGGGCGGGCATCTTGGAGAATGGCTGAGATGGGGTTTGATTTCCCCGGGGGCTACGGGAGGAGCTCCTGGAGCTTGAACGTGGGGGAAATGATGATTGTCCCCAGGCCCCGATCATGTGAAAAACTGGGGAGGTTGACCCAAACAGAACACATTTTTCCAGCAGCGGAACTTCTCAAGAGGTCACGACGCCACCTCCAACCTCGTGAGGCTTCCGGCACCCTCGGGTGACATCCCCGTTCTCCACCAGGGCTCCATCCTGAGCTGCAGCCACACGCCCGCCCTGCTAACTCACAGCCTCACGCTTGCCCTTCCCTCCTCCTGCAATGCTGTTCCTTCAGAGTAGGCGTGTCACGGGTGGGAGTGACAGGATGGAGCGCTTCGTAATCACAGTCTCCAGAAATAACCAGGAGTGCGCTATTTTCTCTTCTTGCGTATGTGTCTCGTAAGCTCTGGATACAGAACGTGATTGGGGTCACGTCGTATGTTGTTTTGCACCTTCATTTTTCTCTTAATTTTTCTGTCACGAGCATCGTTGCACGTCTTTAAACATTCTTCGGAAACGTCATCTTTACATATTAGTGTAGCCTTTGGTGGCAGTATAACTCTCCAGATCTCTTGTTTATGAATATAGTCGGTTTTTGTCTTTTTTTCAGTTTTTTGCTGTTATGTGTAGCTCTGAATTGAATATATTTTGTGTAGATGAAAACATACTCTTATGTGTATGCTTCCTGAAGTTATGTATATTGGGGATTTTAAATGAACGTAACATCCCTTAGGTTCAAGGGGTATTTAGGACGTTCTGAGTTTTGCTCCCATTCTGTAATTTTTGCAGTTTTAAGTTGCATTTTATTTTGAAAGTTCGCCAAGTGCTGGTTTTTGAGGAAAAAGACCACGTCGCTTACGTTTGCAGCTCACAGTAATTTATTTTGAGGTTCAGATTATATGGGTGATATGATGTGGGTCAGTCTAAGTTAGGGCTCCTGGGTTTTGGTCTGTGCTTCACACTCTTTTCTCTTTAAAACAGAGGCAGGAAGCACGGCGGTCTCTCCCCTCCCTCAGCCCACCCCCCAGCAGTTGCTAAAACCCAGCACAAGCCGTCCCTTCCTGACGCTGCCCGCTCAGAGACAGAACCCCCGGGTCTGGCAGGTTCTGTGCTTTAGGTCCCGGGGCTTAGGCAGATAAGGCATCATTTAACAGATTTGTTTTGGTGGCGGGGTTGGGGGGGCCCATGCAGACGGCGAGACCCCAGAAGGTGAAAAGCTGACAGAGGGAGCAGCACACGACACTTCAGCAGAGGTGGAGGAGGAAGAGAATGAGGAGAGCCTTCCCGGGTGCACGCTGTTTATCAAAAATCTCCACTTCGACACGACCGAGGAGACGCTGAAGGGGGTGAGTGACCGCTCGGCCCAGAGGGAGCGGGCGGGGGTGGGCGGGGCGGGAGACCCAGTCTGCTGATGTGGTCACCGTGTTTATCCTGCCTGGACGAGTGACTTGTGGCAGCGTGTAGATTAACAGCCAACAGCCACCGCATTGACACCTCCACCGAGCTGTCCAGTAGACATGTCACCCGGAGATCGGAGCCCTGGCCAGACCAGTCTGGGGGCTGGCAGGGGCGCCTGCATGCACTTGAAGGGGACCTGTTGGGATGCGGTGTGAGAGCTGTAGTCAGAAAACAAAGCCCCTCCCCAGATGGTGTCTGCGAGGGTAACCACCCAAAAGTAAACGCCAGCACACCCTCCTGGCCTGGTGGGAACACGCAGAAGACACAGCACTGAGTGAATCTGGAGGAGGGGCAGTCCTGCCTGGAGTCCCTGATGGGCTGAGAGTTTTACATTCATAGGAAGGGGGTGGAGGGGAAAAGGATGGGGAACTCCAAGTACGCATTGGGAAAATGCCAAATGATGGGCGCTGGGGGGCTTCTAGAAGGAATTGGGCCAGAGATCTGGAAATGGGGATTCTAGTGCCAAAGGACTGGGGTCTGCGAGCTCCCCCACTGGACTGAGAACTGTCCACGGGGAGAGTCTCTGCTTCTGTGAACTGGGTTTGGCACAGAATAAATGCTCGATGCCTTTTTTTTTTTTTAATGCATGAATTGGTGACTAGCAGCCTGACAGCCATGAACTGGTTCTGGAAAGGAAGAAGGCCGTAAGGATTGAGCTGATTGGTTTCTGCAAATTCTTTTGAGCTCTGAAATCCTAGAGCTGGATTCAGGAGGGGAGACGGGGTCCACTGAGTCCTAGAGGCAGGAAGGTGATGGATGGGTGGAAAGGAGTCCAGCCTGCTTTGGGCGGGAAAGCCCAGGGTGTCAAGGTGAAGCAGGAGATCAGAGCCTGCACGCTGGGACCCTCTGGCTAAATCTCCAGTGTGACTGTCACTTGCCAGTTAGAAAAGCCACCACGGCAGCAGAGGTGCCTGGCAAAAGCAGCAGCATTTTAAGCGCAGAGGTTCGCCCTCTGGGGCAATGGGAAACCCACTCTTGGACTTTTCCTGGGCTACTTCCTGAATCCGTTTTGGTCTGGTTTGAGTTTGCTTTTACAAACAGGCACACGCTAGTAGTGTCCAAAGGCTAGATAGCTTTGAAGAGGTCAAACCAGCTTGTGGAGGGTTTGTTTTTTTATTTCTGCTGTGCTGGCCCCCCTGTATCTGGTATGGGGATGTCGTCAACGGGAACCATTTTTTTCCTGGAAGATGTGCCCAAGCTTCAGCCTAAGAGCATCCTTGGAGTTAAAGAACTCTGGAGCTGGAAGGTACAGCCAAAATGATCTAGTCCAGGTTCTTCATATTACAGATGTGGAGACTGAGGTTCAGAGAGGTCAGTTCACTGACCTAGGGTCACACAGCCCATTCGAGGCACTGTGGGGAGCAGCGTCCAGCTCACAGGGCTCCTGTTAACAGCATCCTGAGTGGAGAGTTGTGCTTAAGGGTCAGTCTGCCTGGACTTGGGTCCCAGCCTCACTCCTTACTAACAGTGTGACCCTGGGCTGGTCCTTTGGCCTTTCTGTGCCTCAGTTTCCCATTTGTAAAAAGGGGGTGTTAATAGAATCTTCTGCGGAGCTGTTTGGAAGATGTGATTAGAATGAATGAGATAATTCAAGTAAAGTGTTTGACAGTCGGAATAAGAGAGTCAGTGAATGTCAGCTGCGTGCGGTTCTTGTTTGCTGGTCGGAATCCCCCCTCCCCTCTGCTTCCCCTTCACTCAGTCGGTGAACAGTGACCCGCACCTGCCTCTCCCTGGGCCCTGTGTGTGCTGTGGAAGACACCGCAGTGAACCAGAAGGACAGGAATTCGCACTGGTCAGTTCTCAAATTCTAGCAAGAAAGACAAAAAAAGTAAAGGGAAAAATAGAGCAGAATGTGATTTTTGAAAGTTTTAAACATTAGTTGGCGTTAGGTGCAGGGGCAGTGAGAGGCTCAGGACTGGGGTCAGTGGACTCCAAGCTTCTAAGTGTAGGCCCAGCTTCCCCACTGCATGGCCCTCGGTGATTCCTTGCACTGTTCAGTGTCCCAGGTCCTTCTTGGACACTGGGAGCCAGGACCCAGCCCAGCGGCCCTTACGGGGAACCCTAAGGGAACATCCAAGCTACTTAAAGTAGGCCATGATCCAGTGCCTCCAGATATTTTTGGGGACCCCCGAGGTGATATTAGGGCAAATGTGGGGAGCCTAGTGTCTGACCAGGACCTCCACCTGCACGGCATTTAGAACCTGGGCTCTGGCGCCTGGATCCAACTATCAGCTCCGGGGCTTCCCAGCTGTGACGCTGGGTGCGTCTCTAACCCCTTGGAGCCTCAGTTTTGTCATCTGCAAAACGTGGGTAGTAACACCTACCTGGTAGAATCACTGCAAGGGCTGGATGAGTTCATGCAGGCAGAGGGCTCGGGCCAGGGCCCGGCCACGGAAGCGCATCCAGGGGTTAACTCTTCTCTTACTCTCGCCCTCTCCATGCCTGCAGTTGCCTGGTCCCCTCTGTCTTTCGAGACACGCCTACACCAGGTTGCGGGATTAGCACAGAAATTCTGATAATACCTGTCGACATTCTCTTCCAGGTGTTTTCCAAAGTGGGTGTGGTGAAGAGCTGCTCCATTTCCAAGAAGAAGAACAAAGCAGGTATTTCACAGGAGATCTCAGTTAGAAAGGAACGACTCTGAAAGAAACAGTGTCGCTCTGGGTAGGGGTAAGGGTACCTCTCTCTTGCTTATTCTGAGGGTCTTCTTTCATTCTGAAGCATTGGCAGCCCCACGCTCTCTCGCTTGGCTGTCTAAAATGGTCCTCCTTTCTGGGTCCCTGGAGACTCCTGGTTTCCGGTGGGAGCAACCATGCATGTCAGATTCTTCTGAATCTAGACCCTTTGCCACCCCGGACTGTCGGGTGTTTTCAGAGCAGTGCGATTAGAGGGCTGGCAGGGTTGACACTGTTCGGTGGCAGAAGCCTCTCCCTGCTCCCAGCATCTCTGTGCTCTGGAAATCTCCAGGGGAGAGTGAGAACAGACCCGTCTTGGGCTTTCCCTCTTCCCTTCCAAGAGAAGTGACCCAGATGTAGAACATCCAGAACGCTCCACTGAGTCACCAGCCACGCACCTCACTGGCCCCTGGGTGCCTGGGCCACGCAGACCCCACCCTCATCTCTCCTGTCAGCCTCAGGCGTTGCCACGAGTCCCTTGGCGTCTCTCTGTTCCTCCTCCGGCCCTGGCTTCCTGCAGGTGGTAGACGGGCCATTGCTCCTGGCTTCCTCACAGCTGTGCGCTCCCCATCCCTTCAATTTGCCGGGATTTGTAGGCATGCCACGTGGGCTGTCCCGTGGCTGTGTCCTGAGAGACTAAGGAGCTAGTGGTTACAGCACACAGCAACAAGGGGTCTGGTGGAGGGGGCCCTGGCTGGACAGGAGCCCAGGCCAGGGGTCTCCACGTCAGACCGCGACCTGGAGGGTAGGGAGGCAGAGCAGTCAGCTGGTGGGGGCGGGGGTGGGTGGCGGAGGCGGGAGAGGGCGTAGTAGCAGGTTGGGAGTGTACTGAAGAGGCAGAAGGCGCGCCTAGAAAGGTGGGCTGATTCCAGGTCACAGAAGGGCTTGCTGCCAGGCAGAGGAGCCTTGGAGGGGCTGAAGCAGACGGGGGCATAGAATTTGGGGAGTTCCTTGTATTAGTTTGCTAGGGGTGCAAAAAGCACCACAAACCAGGTGGCTTCCACCACAGAAGTTTATTACCCCACAGTTCTGGGAGCCAGAAGTCCAGGATCAAGGTGTGGGCAGGGTTGGCTCGTTCTGAGTGCTTGTGAGGGAAGGATCTGTTCCAGCCTCTCTCCTTGGCTTATAAGTGATTGTCTTCATGTTCACATGGCATTCTCCTGTGTGCACCTGTCCTGTGTTCAGAGTTCACCACCACCCCTTTTTTTTTTTTTTTTTTTTTGCGGTACGCGGGCCTCTCACTGTTGTGGCATCTCCCGTTGCGGAGCACAGGCTCCGGACGCGCAGGCTCAGCGGCCATGGCTCACGGGCCCAGCCACTCCGCAGCACGTGGGATCTTCCCGGACCGGGGCACGAACCCGTGTCCCCTGCATCGGCAGGCGGACTCTCAACCACTGCGCCACCAGGGAAGCCCGCCCCTTTTCTTTTTTATAAGGATACCGATCATATTGGATTAGCACTTAGCCTCGGGACCTCATTTTTGCCATGATTACCTCTGTAAAGGATCTATCTCCAAATACGGTCACATTCTGAGATGTGAGGGTTAGGACTTTAACGCACACTGGGGAGCTGGGCACAGTTCAAACCATAACATCCCTGTTCACCAGGAACCGCAGATGTAGTTTGGGCTACAGGGAAAGGCAGCTAAGCGCCGAGTGAACGACATGAAGGCTCAGTTTGGGGGGGTCTGGGGACGGAGTTCAGGAAAAGAGGTGACCCCTGAAGTCTGGGGGGTGAGACAGGCTGGCAGAGGGGTCGCCAGCTCCATCCAGGGCTGTCCCTGCAGGCTGTAGTGTCACCGTGCCCCTCTGCAGTCAGACGCTCTGTGGAGCCGGCCCCTCGGCCCTCGGGAGCGCTCTTCAGCGTGCTTTAGAACGGTTATCTGATCTTTCAGTGCCACGAGCAGCTCTTGAAAGCTACACTGTCTTTTTTAAGAGCCTGTATGTGAGAGCCCTACTCTCCGGGGCTCATCCGTCACAGCTTGGGGGGAATCTAGATGGTGCCTGTTATCAGCGAGGGTCTCAGCAGGAACCAGAAAGCACGCTCAGCTGCGGTTGTCAAGGAGATGTTTGTAGTGAAGGGGCCGAGTGCCTGGGTCTGGGCTGGGCTGAGGGGACCCACGGGAATGTCGAGGCAGTGGATCCTGTGGGAGAACGCCCCTCCCCTGCAGAGCCCAGAGGCCGTGGGGAGGGAGTGGTGTGGCCAGAGCCACAGAAGAAGGGCCACCAGCAGAGCCAAGGGTGTGGGTTGGACACTGGCGCTGCCAGAACCACGCCAAAGCGGGGAGGCGATGGGGTGCGTGGAAAGAACGGGGGCCCCAACTCTACCTCCTCCACCCGCCTATGTCAAATCGGAGCTTTCCATTGGGTAAACCGAACAGGAAACCAGAAGGCCGGGGAGCCCAAGTCGTGCTCTCTATGGACATCAGCGTTCCAGGGCAGGAGAAGGGCAGAATGGATCTGCACAGCGTCAGTGAATCGGCAATGAACTTGACTCTCTGTAGTTGCCTTTAACACCATCTTAATGAGCTTTTTAAATACCCTACGGGCACAGACCCTCCAGCCTTGGCCCTCAGAACAGTGTTTTCACGTATCCACTGGAAAACAAATACTGAAAGTCACCACGGGGTGGCGCTACCCATCAGCCATCAGTTCTTTCTGAACCTCCTTCCTGTCGCCCGCAGAACCATGTCTGGGCTGTTTGTGGAATTTCTTCCTGCTTTGGGCCCTCGTTTTATAACATGTAGTTGTGAGTAGAAATGCAGACAAGCAGGGGCACAGCCTCACAAACAATACAGACAAAGATGAGGACTGCTGGGTCAACAGTGGTGAACCCTGAGCCTCGTTTGGGCCCATCAGCCTTGAGCCGACCCTCTTTGAGTTCAACTGTGAAAAAATAGAGAGTAAAATTAGTAAATCAGCATGAACCGCGGGGGCGGAGGCATGCATCACATTTTGTGTCAAAGAGCCAGGTGTAATTAGAGACCTTATTCTTGCGTGCCCCCAGTTATGCGTATTTACATTCAGGAAGCAAAGTTCTCTATAAATTTTGGAGACACCCCTGGCTATCTGAACTCTTGCTACTCACGACCCAGCAATAGGGAACCAGAGGAGTTCTAACGAGGTGGTCACAGCCTCCCTGTCCCAGCCTTATGTCTGAAACCCAGGAACCAGGTGTAACCGGGTGGTCAGAAATACTTTGTAAAGAGTAAGCCTTTGGCGTGCTTGACTTTGATGCATGTGTTCGTATTATGCATTATGTATGGAAGCAGGGGACTGCCCGGGTAGAGCTTTTGCCGCTTGTCGTGGCGATGGTCACCCCTCCCTCCCAAAGGCGGAATTCTATTATGAAGTTAATTATCACGTCGATCATCTGTTAATTAATAGTCAACTGGGCCTCAGGTGGCGGCTGTATAACCTCGTTGGCTGATTCTTCAAGACGACTGGTAATAAATGGCGAGCCGGGAGCTGGGATCTTGGGGAACAAAGAGGGGCATGAAGAAATGAGAATGTCGAGGGGCCGTCCAGGGGCCCTTGGAGCCCTTGAACTTGGTCTGGTGCACCTTCTTTGTTTTCCTCCCTGCCTGGCGCCCCCGTACGATTCCCACCTCTCTCTCTCTCAGGCGCGCTGCTGTCCATGGGGTTTGGATTCGTGGAATACAGGAAACCGGAGCAGGCCCAGAAAGCTCTCAAACAGCTCCAGGTAAGTGGGCGTTCTCAGCCGAGGTCCCCGGGGGCACAAGGCAGGTGGTGCGGTATCCCGTCAGTCTTCGGAAATTGAGTGGGAATGCAGAGCAGCCCACATCTTCCCAGGCCCGTTGCTTTCTCCAGTTCCCTAGGGGACTGTGGCCACGGCCTTGAACTTCCTCAGCCCCCCACAGTCACTACAAGGCATTCCTTCAGTCTGCAACTCTTGATCAAGAGCCTGGTTTGTGCCAGGCCTCAGGGAGATGGGTGAAGCAGACCTCTGAAGAAACACGCCAAGACCAGGTCATGAGAAGTGCTCGGGTGCAGATAAAGCAGACACTGTGGTGAGGGGAAGGCTGCTTTAGATCGCGTGGTCAGGAGAGGCCCTCTCTGAGGACGTGACAGTTGAGCTGACACCTAATTGACAAGAAGGAGTCAGCTACACAGAGATCTCGGAACAGCACATGCAAAGGGCCTGGGGCAGGGACTCTGAGGCAGGAGTGAGCTTACTATGTCTGAGGAGCAGAAAGAGGCCAGTGTGGCAGGGACAGGGTACAGGGTGGGAGGTATGTGGAGCTGGATCTTGCAGACCTTTTATGGACTGTGGAATTCAACATAGAGGCAGTGCGATCCCATCAGAGGCCTTGGAGCACTTTGGGGAAGGATCTGATTTCTGCTGCAGAACAATGTCTCCAGCTGCTGTGTGGAGGGTGCATCATAGGAGGGCAGGTTGGAGACTGTTGAGTCCTCCAGGCACGGGTCAGGGTGGACGCAGTGACAGTGGGGAGAAGGGGGCTGAACGCAGAGGTGTTTGGGACACAGACTTATGTCCTGCTGAGAAAGGAGCGATGCCCTCCTGCTGGGTCGAAGTGCAGGGACAGATCAGGGCCCTGGATGGCAGGAAGGGAGCTGAGGTTACAGGGAGCAGAACAGAGCCCCAAAGTGGGCGAGGCCTCAGCTTAGGACAGTGTCCTCAGGGCTTCCCTGGTGGCGCAGTGGTTGAGAGCCCGCCTGCCGATGCAGGGGACACGGGTTCGTGCCCCGGTCTGGGAAGATCCCACATACCGTGGAGTGGCTGGGCCCGTGAGCCATGGCCGCTGGGCCTGCGCGTCTGGAGCCTGTGCTGCGCAACGGGAGAGGCCACAACAGTGAGGGGCCCGCGTACCGCCAAAAAAAAAAGACAGTGTCCTCAGCACCTTCCCTGACACCCCACGTCCCCAGGCCCTTCGGTGGCAGGAAGGGGACAAGGAACAGTGCTTTCTCACGAGCCTCTTTCTTTCTGGAGGCCCACTTGCTCCAGGGGGATCCCTTTTAAACCCTATTCAGAATGTCACGTGTCTGTATAGGCCATCCAGGCAGCGGCAACATAAGATGGAGTTGACCAGGGCCAAGTTGACAAGCGAGCGCGTAGCAAGCCGCATGCCCTCCCAGCTCCCATTCTCTCTGAGACGTGTGCTTGGGCCTGCACAGCTGGGCTGGATACTGGGTGAAAAGGGCACCCATACCGGCCCACCTCCCTGTGAAGCCTGGCTTTATAGGGGCCCTCCAGGTGATGGAGTCTGTCCCAGTAGAGCTTGCTAGTCAAGCGAAAGGCCTTGGGGATTATAGGAAATGTAACTGGGCACTTAGCCAATATGATCGTTTTTGTAGAATTTTGATGACCCTCCCCTTGGCCCAAAGCAACTCCAGGGAGGGCTGAATTGGGTTTGGGTGCGGTGGTGGGGAGGGATGGCCTCTGGGGCCTCTGCTCTCACTTGGAAAGTCTCTCTGCTCTCCACCTCACGTGCCCATGGGGCCACTAGCTGTAAACTAGCGACGGGCCAGCACCACCCAGAACAGAGCCTGGGCACCTGCGCCCCTTCTACCGGGGCAGCCACTGCTTGGCCTCAGCCAGGTACTGCCTGACGGGCAGGTGGGCCCCGGCCATACCAGATCTTCTCTGGTTTTTTGTTTTGTTTGTTGTTTTTTCAAGAGACACTAGAAATCCAACTTTGTCATTAGATGCTGTGTACTCATTTAACTGGATTTCAGCTCTGCACGCCCAGTGGTCTGTCTTTCTCTTCCATGTAATTCAGGAGCCTGTCAGAGTCTACCTTGCACACATTAGAGTTATGTTCTGTGCCTCGCTGTGTGCTACATACGGGCATATTGCCGCAAAGAGCTGTTTATACGAAGCTACGTGTGCTGTATTTTATGGGCGACTTTAAAGGATTTTCAAGGGTAGTTTTGCTAATACACCAGTTTTGCCTTAAGGGACCCACGTTAAGAGCCTAGCTTTAGGTGCATCTCTGCTGTGATTTAGAATTTTTTTTTTAATGGCATACAATCCAAACCAAACTCTCTCTCTGCTAGCCAGACCAAAGGGCTTACGTTGCCTGAAAATGCTTATAAACAATGGAAAATTCTGTGCCCCTTGAATGGCTTAAAGGTCAAGGCCCACTCGTGGCTCCAGAGGACTTGGAGGGCTGCGTCTCCGTAACCACCAGCTGCTGCCCGGGCTCAGCGGGAACCACTTCCAGGAAAAGCCCTTCTCTGTCCTTGACTCCAGCGGGCTTGTCTCCTGGGAATAGTCAGTGCCCCCTCGAAGTTCTCTCTCCCCTCACTCAGCCGAAGCCCACTCCGGTGAAGGACAGGGCTACGGGTGAGTGCTTCTAAGAGGACAGAGGGACAGGCTGTGTTGTCTCATCTCTCAGGGTCACGTCGTGGACGGCCACAAGCTGGAAGTCAGGATCTCAGAACGAGCCACCAAGTGAGTCTCCCCTGCCCCCTCTTCCTTGGATTGAGTCCATCCCTTTTGTGTTGGTGCCGGTGCCCTGGATGGTGTCTCATGGTCTTTGAACATCCTCCCCGACCCAACCCCCCTCACCCTGGGACCGCTTCCTAATTAAGGAGGTGTCCCGCATGCCAGCTCTGATACCCATTTCCCTGGTAAACTGGGACCATGCCAGTCCCCGGAGTAAACGTGTTAGTACTCATCTATTATAACAAAAGGAACACAGGCAGGAGAAGCAAGCAAAACCCACTTATCTTGGTCCTATAAATAAACCCAGGGAGACTTGCAAGTTGCTGGAGCCTTGGACGAACCAGAGGCAGTGAGAAAACCTAGACGCCTCGCATTATGGGACTCTCTTTCTTGGAGCTGGACAGCGGCGCCCAGAGACGGCCTCCGCTTAATTTGAAAGAGATTCAGTAGATGTTAGAGATGGAGACAGACCACTGGACCCAATGACCAGTTTCCTAAAGTAGTAGAGGTCTCTTGGGAGTTTTAGTTTTGCCCCTACATCCTCACCCTTGCAAGTCCTAGTTGAACTAATACACTGGAGGTGCTTTGAACAGTGCCCGGCATGTAACGCGTACCTGGGGTCAGCCGTTATCATTGTTGTCATTGTCAGTCCCATCTGTCCGCCTCAGGTGATGAAGTGACTGCCTCTAACAATCCTTGGGCTGGTTTAAGATATTTATTCGATGGTTTTCAGGAAGTCGGTCATCTGTTGTGGTCGTTGAGCAGGTTAGCCGCCAGCGAGCTGGCCTGAAGCTGCCGCTATCTCTTCCTTCTCTCTCTGTTTTTTAATGCTCCCTGTGAAGCCAGCCTCGGCCACCTCTGGTGGTGTCCACCCATCCCAGTCCATCCCATGCTGAGCATCCTTAGCCAGAAGAAGGCTTGGTGTGGGAGCCCCCAGAAGCTAACGGGGGTTCTTGAGCCATGAATTAAGAGTGGGGGGGGGTCCAAGCTTTGTGCCCTGCAGCTTTGGGTCTAATCCAGAGGCTGTGTGACCTTGGGAGGGTGATTTTGCCCGTAAAGTAAAATGTGAAAACGAGGTTGTGCATGAAGCATCTAGCACATGGCCAGCACGTGATCACTCAGCCAGTGGCGCCGGTCTCTCAGCTCAGTCCCCTGACTCCAGGGAGTCAGGCTGAAGTCACCTTGCAGGCTCTCAGTTCCTAGGCAGTGTTCATTTAGTCTGTCTTTTATTCAACAAAAAATTACAGAAAGCCTCCTGGGCACCAGACACTCTTCCCAGGAGCTGGGGAGGGAGATTCCTCATGGGGTTTACATTCTAGGGCAGTGCTATTTGATAGAAGTTTCTGCGATGATGAAAACATCCTATAATGTTCTACATCTGCACTGCCCAGCGTGGTAGCCACTTGCCACACATGGCATTTGAGCTCTTGAAACGTGGCAACTACCACTGCGTTAATTATCTATCGCTACATAATCAAGTATCCCAAAACTTAACAGCTTAAAACAGCAGACGTTTATTATCTCACAGTTCCTGAGGGTCAGGAATTCAGGAGCAGCTTAGCTGGGAAGTTCCGTCTTGGCATCTCGTATGAGGTTGCAGTCAAGACGTTGGCCGGGGCTGCAGTCTCATCTGAAGTCTCCCCTGGGGTTGGTGGCTTCACTTGCAAAATGGCACATTCACATGGCTGTTGGCAGGAGGCCACAGTTCCTTACCATGTTGGCCTCTCCCTAGGCTTGCACAAGTGTCCTTACAGCCTGGCAGCTGGTTTCCCCCAGAGCGAGTGATCCAAGAGAGAATAGGGAGGAAGCGGCAGCGTCTTTTATGACCTAGGCTCAGAGCAGGAGAGGAGTACACAAGGGGCATGAATACCAAGCGGCAGAGACCGTTGGGAACCATCTTGGAGGCTGGCTAGCCCAGCAACCAGGAAGTTGAATTTTTAATTTTGTGTCATTTTAGTATCGATTTAACTGTTAGCCACCTGCAGCTGGTGGCTGCCGTGTTGGACAGCATAGCCCTAGAGGACAGACCGTGAAGAGAAACATGACTGAATATGTAACGTGCTCTTGGGCAGTGATGAATGCCAGGAACATCGAGCCGGGCTGGGAGTGGGAGTGGGCTGCTATTTTAGTGGAGACAGTTAGGGAGGAGGTGACCCGGAGCAGACTTAAAGGAAGTGAGTCATAACCGTCCTCATAATCACAGCTACTGTTTATGGAATGCTTACCCTGTGCTAGGCACAGTGCAGAGTGTTTTGACGTGTCCTTCATTAAATCCTCAAACAATCCGATGAGGTTGGCACTATTATTAGGCCTGTTTTACAGTTGAGAGGCCAAGTAATAACTTGTCCAAGATCACACAGATCCTTAGTGGCCAACGAGGCATTCACACCCAGATTGTCAACTCATGGCTCTGCTCGTGACCCTCCCCTGCGTCCGTGGAGTGGAGGGTTTCCCTGGAAGAGCAGGGGGACAGGTTCGGGATGGCCTTGAACCTCAGGTGGAGAGAGTTCGTCTCACAGCCCTGACCCACCTCCATGGTTAGAAACTGCTCCAGGCCCCTGGATTCTGCACTTCGGGTTCGTGAGGAAATGTCTCCAACAAGACCTTGGGACCAGCCGGCGTATTTCTGGGCACCTGCAAAGAAAGAGACAGAGGAGACTGGGTTTAGGGAGAGGCTGCCCCCACCCCCGCATCGGAGTTCTTTCCTCAAGTCCCTGCTAGTCCCTGAGTGTCTCAGATGAAGGGCAGCAGACACCCCAGGGTAGGATGTGCCGACTGGACATCCACAGCTGCTGGGGGGAGAAGATAATTAGGCTGCGTGCCACCCAGGGGAGCCCGCCTCCTTCCCCTTTCCTCTCAGCCGCGTCCACGCAGTCTCGAGTCCCTCACCTGAACAGAGGACAGGAGCATCGGTGCTGGTGGGGGGAGGGGGCGGTGGAGTCAGCAGAGGGCAGCAGCTGCTGAGGCCCCGAATAACCTGAAGGCTTTCCGCCGACCCTCCAGGCCAGCCCTGACGTCCGCTCGGAGGAAACAGGAGCCCAGAAAGCAGACAACCTCCAAGATCCTGGTGCGGAACATCCCCTTCCAGGCTGACAGCCGTGAGATCCGCGAGCTCTTCAGGTGAGAGGCGCTGGTCCGGTTCGCGGGGCCGTCGTGTCGGGGGGAGCTGCTGAGCCTTCGGGTCTTCGATGGTCTGCCGAAGGCCAGCGCGGTGGCCTCTCAGAGGTCATCTTCTGGCTGCCTTTGATGTATCTCCCTTAATCTCAGACATTGCTCTCCAGACCGCTGGGCAGAAACATGTCCAAACAGGGCAGTCAGTCGTCTTCATCCCCACCAGCGACCTGCAGGAGGGGCAGGGAGCCAGGCGGCTGACGCCCAGCTCTGCCCATGATCTGCCTGAAATCCTGCCGCCCAAGTCATCCTTTGCTTTAAGCCAGTGGCCCACTACCTTCTCTGCACCTTTGAATCACCTGGTGACTTTTATAAATACACCTTTGCTCAGGCTCCGCCCCCAGAAGGTTGCATTCAGTTGATCAGGGGTGGAGCCCAGATGTTGGTATTCGGATCAGAGCGCCCCAGGGGATTCTGGTATCCAGCCAGGGTTGGGCAGCACGCTGGTCTACACTGCTGTCTATGGAAAGCCCGCTTTGAAATGAGGGGAGACCACCTGCCTAAATAATGCAGTCCACCAGCAGATGCTACAGCACAGGAGTCAAAACTCAGATCTCTTGGGGGCCAGGCAGCAAACAGCCTGGCAGAGCAGACTGGGTGGGAACTGACGGACTGGAGGGCCAGCGGCGATGCTGGGCAGGGACGCAGATGTCATAGGACCAGTTCTTCCCGCGTTTTGAAAGAGAAACTGGCAATCTGGATTCTTGAGTTGGCAACTAATTCACTTTCTAAAAACACTGTGGGACAACGTCTACCTGAGGGCCGGCTATAACCCAGGGCCACGAGTTTGCAACCCCTGTGCCAGTACATTACACTGTTGGGTTTTTCAGATAAGTTAGGTATCACCCAGCACCAAGCCTTGGATGAAACGTCTTTAGAGAGAGGGCGTAAGGGGGAGACGTTTATGAAGCCAGGGCGCTGTCCAGGCGTGTGCTGTGGGGCACGGAGAACAGACCCTTCTGGCTGTCAGAACCTAAGGCAGATGCCATCGGCCCCAACCAAGCAGATCACGGAAGCTCGGCTGCAGTCTGAGAGTGTTCTGGGGACCTGCGGCTCTGCGGCCTGCATGGGGGTGAACACTCAGGCTTCTGTGTACTAGACCTTGTTTGTTTAACCTGCGTTTGTCCAGTTCTGGCGTGAAGGTCAGGAAAGCTAAATCCCGATCAGGATTTTACCAGTTAGCCTCTTGCCAGGTCAGCTGTGGGTGCAAAATGCAAGTCCCAGAGTTTGGAGGCTGGAAAGTATGCATTATCTTCGTGTGAAGTCTACCCTCTTTGCTCCTACTCCGTGGTGTAAGGAAGGGGGAACCCCTTGAAGGGTCTGCTTTAAAAATCCCTGTCGTCTTCCCCCCCATTCTAAATCATACACTGGCGCACAGTTCATTAACAGACATTAGCCCAGTGCTGATGCAAAGACAGGGACCCTGTCGATTTCTTAGTAGCGGGGTCTTAGCTATGATCCCAGGGTCCCCTGCGTGGTAGTAACAGCCTGGTAAGGTGGGGTCACCATCTGCAGGAGGCTGTTTTCCATCTCCCAGCATCTGGGGGGACGAGTCAAGAGGAGTGGGTCGCCGTCACGAGAAGGTATGTATCCCGAGCCCCACACGGCCGCTGGTTTCAACCATGCTTCTGCTTTTTAAAGAGTCCAGTTTAAGAACTGCCAGATCAGAACGGGATGGCTCTGAGCAGCACGCGTTGATCGGGGAACAGCATCCTGCCGAAATGACAGCTCACTTGGTTCCGCAGCCTGTTGAGGATGACACTTATCCAGGGAAACAGAAGCCCGCAAGGGGAAGGGAAAAGCGCTTTGTCTGATCTCACGTTTTATGTTTATTTTGAGAAGACAGGGAATTAGTGTTCCCCGAACATCATTACATGAGGTGTCCCTTCCTGCCATTGTTCTGGTGGTAGTTTTCATCAACCCCTGGAAATCCAGAGCCTGCTTGGAGCCTGGCTTTGTTGTGTGTTCTGGCCGGGGGTTTGAGGCCGCTCCGAGCGCGGGCAGCAGGGGTCGCTGTGAACCTTCTCTGGGAGACGAGCTCTGCCAGGAAAGCACACAGACCCAGTTTCAGACAAAGCCAGTGGCCAGCAAAGGTCAGAGCCAGGGGAAGATGTCAGGGTTTAGGGGAACCAGTCCGGTCCATTTTGCCAGGCAGTTTTCATGGAGTTATCCTACCAGGCATAATCAAAATCACCAGCTCAGTGTGTGCTGGGCTCTGCTACAGGCCTTCCTATGCTGTATCTTTTATTAAGCAGCAGAGCAGCGCTGCGGAGGAGGGATGCTGTTATCCCTTAGTGGAACCACCATCCCGCACGTGTGTCGTTTGTACCAGGCACTGTGCTAGGCGCCCGGCACGTAGCCATTTCAGCAGAGACAGGCTCCTCTCTCAAGGAATTCACTGTTTGTGAAGGACCAGGAAGGAAAGCGACAGTGACAGTCGCACAGTGACACACCCGGGGTGTGAGGGCATGAGTGCAGCGCCGTGGGAGGGCATGGTCTGGTTCTTGAGGCAGCCCGCTGGGGTACAGCAGCTCACCCGCCCTCCGCAGCCGCTGGGGGCCCTGCCCGAGCGCTGGGGGCAGCCGTTTCTCAGCCGAGGCAGTGTTTGCCTGGGCCTTTCCTGGGGGCCACCAGCCTTCCACCCAGGCCTCACTGCACCACACCCCAACCCCTTAAACCCAGCCCGACGGGTGCCAAGAGGCCCTGCAGATCCATGCCTCTGCGGGATCGTCCTCTGGGACAGTTCGAGGCTCGCCCTTTAGAAGAGTCAGAGAGTAGACACAGCAGTGAATTAGGAGACAGCAGTTCTCTCTCTGCTGCCCCCTCTCTGGGCCTCAGTTTCCCCTGGCATAAAATAGTAGCCATAATACTGGTGATGACGTGTGCTGCGAATCTCAGTAACGAGGCTAGTGTTTGTCATTATCAATGAAGTAGATTTTTTGAGCGCGACCTCTGTGTGGGCTGAAGCGCTTCGCCTGATTACAGCCCCGCGGAGCGGTTGTCATCGGCTCCATTTCCCAGTGAAGAGACCAGCTCCAGAGCCCGAATTCCTACCCACTGGGTTGTCAGGTGGCTCGGGCTGGCACCCGGCTCCCTCACCATGCGGCTGCCTCCAGGGCTGTTAAAGGATTAAGTGAGATTATGCATGTGGGGCACTTAGTACAGCACCTGGTGTGGAGTGGGTAGTTACCTAGCATTAGCTGTGGTTATTAAACAGCACAAAGCCAGCGGCTCCAGGCTTTGAACCCAGGGCAGGTCTGACTCTAGACAGAGCCCGTGTCACAGTAGTGCTGACTCCTTGGAAGTTCTCAGCAGCATATCCTTTTTTTTTTTTTTCCTCTTTTCCCTAATTATCTCCCTCCCTCCCAGCTCCCCGCGCCCTCCACTGTAGTGCTGTCCCCCTGCAGCTAGGTTCTGGGGCAGAGAGGGTCAGTAAGGAATGTGAGACCCAGGGCAAGGCCGAGCTGCTCCTCCTCAAGCCCTGAAAGGACATGTAGAGGACAAACCGGGGTTCCCCAGACTGCGCAGGGCACACACGGATGCAGGGAGCCAACTCCTCAACCCACAACCAGAGCAAGGATGGGATGGTCCTCGGCTCACCCAGCAGGTGCCCACAGCCTTAAGTCAGTATCGATTCCAGAAGAAGATGTAAAGTGGGCATCCCCCTGCTCTCTGGTTGACTGTGGGTTAGGTGTGCGCATGTGCATGCCTGTGCTAAGTGGTTTTGCTCAGTTGTTTTTTGTTTCACATCTTTTTTTTTTTTTTTTTTTTTTTTTTTTTTGCGGTACGCGGGCCTCTCACTGTTGTGGCCTCTCCCGTTGCGGAGCACAGGCTCCGGACGCGCAGGCTCAGCGGCCATGGCTCACGGGCCCAGCCGCTCCGTGGCATGTGGGATCTTCCCGGACCGGGGCACGAACCCGCGTCCCCTGCATCGGCAGGCGGACTCTCAACCACTGCGCCACCAGGGAAGCCCTATGTTTCACATCTTTATTGGAGTATAATTGCTGTACAACGTTGTGTCAGTTTCTGCTGTATAACAAAGTGAATCAGCTATATGTATACATATATCCCCATATTCCCTCCCTCTTGCGCCTCCCTTCCACCCTCCCTAAGCTGTTTTTTCATTCTTTTCCCGCCTCCATCCGAAAGGCTGGGTTTGAAAGACCCCAGGGCAGAGATATGGTTCAGAGAACAGACCCGCAGATGCTTCCACGGAGCCTCAGTCCGTTCGCTCAGTGGAAGCCTCTATACTTAGGGCCTCCCATCCTGACGCACAAGCGCGTGTGTGCAGAGCCAAAGCATCTGATGGAAGGGTCTCATTCCCACCCACATTTCAAGTGATGGCCCTGAGATAGCAAAGACCCCTTGGGAACCAGGTGGCTAGTGCCCGCGAGCACTTAGGAGGCCTCGGACACTGAGCTGGCCACATCCTGGGCACTCATGGTATCAGTGTATCTTCAGAACAGCCCAGCCTAGTGGAACTATTGTTGTGTCCATTTTCTAGATGAGGACACTGAGGCGCAGAGAGGTCCAGGGGCTATTGCTAGAAGGACCCTCAGCTTGCCCATTTCTTTTGTACTCCAGGGGCAGCCTTGATTTGAGGCACCTGGTGTCTGGAAGGCAGTGATCTTCCAAGAAAGAGGTTCTCCAGACAGGGCCAGCCTCGTGAACATCTGACCTGCATAGTCCCGCAAGGCCTCACACTTGGTTTCATGCTCTCCTGTCGCCATCCTGCAATTCTTAATTTTCCAACAAGGGGCCCTCAATTCTCATTTTACACTGGGCCCAGCAAACTATGCAGCCAATCCTGCCTGCAAACCAGTGGAAAGATCAGATTCGGAGCAGAGTATAGTTTGGCAGTCAGCCAGCCTCAGTTTCCTCATCTGCAGGAGGGGATTGACAGTCATGCCCACTTATCCTCCCTCCCCAGGCAGTGAAAGGCTCACCTG